CTTGTGTTGTTACATGACGTTTCCAAACACCATGTTACAAAACCTGATGGGGCCGTCGATCCGACCAATGAGCTAGTCTCGTATCCTGTAGAAAGCGATTCTCGCAGTTTTGTTCTTGTAAAAGGACCAACCTGAACATATTGCTGGCAAAATCTGGTGCCGCATTTTCCTCCCGCCGAGAGCAACGCACGTGCATATCGGCGCTGGTCCCAATGTGGATGGCCCCAGGAGCTTCAGCAACCAGGTTTGGTATTACAATGACAAATATGCGGGTAGCGTTCTTCTATATGGTACCAGACGCGTTCATTGGTCAGAAGTGACTACCCCACCAGCTTTTGTGACATGGTCTTTGGAAAGGTCATGTCACAAACAGGGGGCGCCGATCTGAGAACAATGTCTGGGATAATGATACATGTCTATGAATTCTAATCAATAATTTCAGGACACGGGCTCTGAGCGTGCTGAAGCGAAATGACAACACCCAGCTTATGCACGCTAGTGCCCATTGAATACGCGAACAATGAGATAATAGTCATATCAAGCGGTAACAAATAAGATCAAGTCGCTTCCTATCATACATTTCTCTGCCGGTCTTTCAAGGTGTCTGTAGTTCAATACGCCTCGGCTCCAGTGCCAAGAGCATGCGCAAAGAAGACCAAACTTCTCGGTTGCCTCCGGATACGTCAGGGACAAAATTATGCTTTGTGGCTGAGAGATTGGCTGTTCGTGCGATGATGCAGTATCGTCTTCGCAACTTCGGCGCCTTGCAGATGAGCGGTGTCTGCTCACCATTTAAAAACGGGGCTTCCCTTTGTAAGAAACCACTTGTCACCAAGGAAAATGGGTTCTATGGAATACCAACCTAGGTCATTTGCGTCTGTTGAGTTCTGATCCTCTTTTCGCCGCCGAAATTAGGGATCATGCATCAAGACATTGCACCACGGAATTTGCTTATCGACCCCGAAACAGACAAGATTATTCTCTTCGATTTCGATTGGGCCACCAATGAGAAGGAAGGTCTACTGGATAGTCGAGACGATGTGTCTGGGGTTGTCTTCACGCTATACGAGATCATCACGAACGATTCACATCCCACGAGCATTCCTCACCGGGACCGAAATATAGACATGGTACAGAATATTGAATGGACTTGTCGCCGCGAACTGACTCTGATGTATCAAAGTTCCGCAAGTTTCTGAATGAATGGATAATGTCGAGAACGGAGAAAGCCAAAGAACAATATTTCAATGCACCCAAGCGGCTTACATGGCCGGATCTCCCAACCCCTCCAGACTACAGTGTGCCCTTTGAGCTGGGTTGGACAGAGGAAGGGGAAACTGTTTGGCAAACGGGTGAGCGTTCAAGACGCATTGCACTAGAGAAGGGGCAATACTGTTTTCGGTGGCAAAGACCACCACAAAGCAGGTTGTTGAAAAAAGCTGAAAATAGCATGTACTAGCTGATGACTTCAAGATTGCTCAGGTAACATAATTCTTTGCTCACCTCCCACTGAGTGGCTTGTCATGTGATTTTGTCTGTGATTGATCGGATGAAATTTTCAAGCCTGCATAATGCATGCATATTCTCCTCTGTAAGTCGTGTAATTTAGGCCAATCAGCTCTTTCGCTCATGGCAGGGAGTCGCGAAGGGAAACATCGTTCCTGGGCAACAGATTTGTTCCATGTCAAAACACGAATAATGATACCTCCCGCAATACATGTAATGCATCCCAAACGCTTCTGATATTTGTATGGGCCAATGTCATATGTGCCTGGTAAGGATAGTCCTGCGCACATGCTCCCGTCTCGCCCCACAGCGCAAACCAAGCGAATCCTACCACAAGCATAAGCGCCAGCAACTAATCCTTACGTACCCCTCTTTCTACTGGCCCCCTCTCTTTCTACTGGCCCCTTCTCTTTCTACTGGCCCCCTCTCTTTCTACTGGCCCCTTCTCTTTCTACTGATCCCTTCTCTACTGGCCCCCTCTCTTTCTACTGGCCCCTTCTCTTTCTACTGGCCCCCTCTCTTTCTACTGGCCCCTTCTCTTTCTACTGATCCCTTCTCTTCTGATCCCTTCTCTTTCTACTGATCCCCTCTCTTTCTACTGATCCCTTCTCTTTCTACTGATCCCTTCTCTTTCTACTGATCCCTTCTCTTTCTACTGATCCCTTCTCTTCTGATCCCTTCTCTTCTGATCCCTTCTCTTTCTACTGATCCCCTCTCTTTCTACTGATCCCCTCTCTTTCTACTGACACCCTCTTCTCTCGCTGACTGTATATTCTTCCCCTGTGCATTCGACTCTGGCACACTGGATGGCTATATGCACGTCAAGTATTGAACTGTGTATGCAAACATGGCGTCGGTGCAGATTACACTACAGCTGGGCAAAGAGAAATTTGAATGGCAGGACGGGTTCGAAAAACTCAATGATAAGGAAGAGAAGGACATTCGACAGTTACTTGTCCTCTCCAAAGCGGTAGTAAGCTCAATTGAATGGGAACTCTCGGCTCATCATAAGGAAGAGCAAGCCTTGACAGCCTGTTCGGAACTTATTTGTAAAGGTGCTCAAAAGATCAATCAATCAGGGCTGGCAGATTTTACAGTACCACGAGGGTCTGAAAAGGAAGAATCTTTCGTTTCAATAATTCGGAGCATTCACAATTTTCACAACCTTCCCGATGCGACCAAAAAAGACCCGAATGAAGTAACTTACCTCAATTCATTACGGCTGATATCGGAATTCACGGGTCTTGCGCACGCTTTTCTCGTGGTCCATCTTATTTCTAAGAAAAAGTTTCGGCGGTTGGGTGCGAAGGGGGCTCCAAAATTAGTCCAATATATCTACAAAAACAAAGACAAATTGGACTGCCCTAATCTTGAACATCAAGTTGATGATATTACAAAAGGTAAGTGTTTCAATAATGCCCCTGTAGAAGGTTTGCTAATGGTTCAGCTGCTGGGATATCATGGCAAAGCAGCGAGGGCACCAATGTAGAATCTCAGACCACAACAGAGACTCCACCCGGTTCTTCCATTGTCACTCCTACAAAACTAAACAACACCTCAATTGAGGATTATGTTCCCAACAGAGAGTTTGTGCAACATTCCAAAACTCCAGACTATACGATATACAACACACTCTCGGAGCAAAACGTTGACCCCACAGAATGTATCAAACCTCGTAAGAAGAAATCTCAAGCTTACTCTATAACTGTCTTGTCAAACCTAATATAATGCCCGACAGACTCGCCACCTACCACAATGCCGCCATCTTTGAGGCTGGGATCAGAACATGAAGTGATTGACGAAAGTCTCATCGAAAATTCTCCTTCACAGGGCCTTTACAACCTGGCTATTGAAAACACAGATGGAAGCGGAAACGATACCTCTGGTTCGTCCGGTACGCACATCCGCAAGGCGCAGATCCACCGCTGCTGGTGGGAGTTGGTGCCACCCAAGACTGAATAGATGACTAATCATTATCAGAAGCTCAATTTGCCACCAAGAAACGGAAGCAAGTTCCAACCGGTTTACAACCAAATGGATTTAAGAAGGCCGGGTTTCGTCAGAGCAACCTTTCTATACCATATAGGACGGCACCACAGTCTGTTTTCTATCAGTCCATAATGCAGGAACTATCTCCAGCCTCGTTGCAGTTACTCTGCATCTTCGCGGCTCTTGGGGGCGACAAAGTGCCCAGGTGTTTATTTGAGAGATCCTTGAGACCTCAGATGCGTTGGAGTGAGGACGGATATCCTGTCCGCCTCACATGTGAGTACGATTTTGTCGGTGAGCTTTTCAAGGCGGAAGCATTGAGTGTATCCTTGGAAGAGCTTCAATTGGGTTCGTGGATCTACCTGGATAATTGCGACAATCATTCGCATACAACTTACTCTCTATCCGAAAGAGGAAGAGAGTATTCAGCACGCCTTTCAAGCGTTGATGATCTTCGGTACTGGACCCTGGTCGGCTTGCAGGTTTCTTGTCACGTGTTTCCCCGCGACCCTGCCTTGGAAGAAAAGTAAGTATTGCCAATTCACCCTCCACTCTTCACATGAAATTTGGGCCGGTATACTTCCATGCGATCGATTTGCATGAACATCACCACTGACTTTCCAATCAGCTTTCAGAAGCACGGGACACACCTAGTCCATTTAATAGATCATCTTTTTCAACAAAGCAAGGCTTACGATCTTCCACCTTCTATAAGATTAGCATTGTCGGAAGTCCTTGTCGCAAAGGCACGTCTCAGACGAGTACAATGCCCTCAGCAGGCTTTGAACCAAGCGACTGATCTTCTCGGCGACGCTGCCCCGGATCACATCCAAGCATCGATTGCTCTACGGCGGAGTATAATTGCACGGCTAGAAGGGTCTTTTCACAAGTCTGAAGAAGTAATATTGGATTACCAAAAAAGAGCTCCTCCGTACGAAACGGCCAACCCGAGATTACGAGCTATAACCCGTCTAGTAATAATTTCTCACATTGAGAATTTGATCCAGCTCGAAAATTATGAATCCGCCAGCAATAACATCGAGGATCTCAATGACTGGGAGCCGAATAGCGATACGATTTGGTCCCCAATGGAGCTCTCTGTCAATTTCAAGAAATGGTCAACCATTTCGAAGATCTACCAGTCTCGGGGCAAATTAGCCGAAGCCAGGGATTACCTGAGCAACTGCTATCCCTTCCTTCAGTCAGAACACTTCAGAGCCGATCCAAATCGGTTTCAGATCATTTGCAGACTCTCAGATATTCTTTGTGCAGATGGTTACTTCCATGATGCCCGTTCAAAGATCGAACAAGAGATACGCTTAATACGCCTTCATGGAAACTTGCCCAAAGCCATGAGACGTCTCGAAGTGTCCATATTGTATGTGTACATCGCAGAAGGCAAATATAAGGAAGCCTCTTCAGTTGTTCTATCGTTGCGAAAGCAATTTTCTACCATCTCATCTCCAGATATCAGTGATCAGTGGTTGCATTTTCGCTCAGTTGTCGCATCCGCTATTCTTTCGCATTGCCAATGCAGATTTTTGGAAGCCGTTACGGAGTGGAAGAATCTTTTGTCGCTTCTGAAAAAATACCCCCATACTTTTGAACCAGAGGGTTTCTACTTCGGCCTCGGTCAGATATCCATTTCCCTCGCACTCCTTCAGTTGGCATCTTCCTCGTCGACAAAACGTGATTCTGGTGTTGTCCCGCCATCCTGGAGCGCAGATGCCAAGAAAGCCTTCGACATTGGCTGTACTGTTCTCGCACACGAAGACCTTAATTTCTGGATACCTATGGTTCCCCAACAGTATATACCAGACTTATTAGCAAGTATCAGGTCTGAGCGGCCGTCGTGGACGGAAACTAGTGATTTCCGCAAACTTCAGCAGAAATATTCCGATTTTCTGGATTCTGCACAGAGACAGACCGGCTTGTTGTCCCGGATATGATGACATCGCGTTCTACATAGCTTGTCGATCTGTGGTGTTTTAGTAGAACCTGCCTTATTGTTTAAAAATTCAACGTTCGTGCAATAGTAATATATTGGTGACTTGATGACTTGAGATGCGAATTTTGCATCTCGCTATCTTTCCAGTAGAACAGGAAGATGACGTGCTGGTGACGCTTCAAAAAAGACTGAATGGGTTAGGTTTTAACATTCTTTAAATTATTACCTTTTGTATTTACAATTTTCTTAAGTATTATTTCAAATTGTCCTGATTTTGTCGATCTCTTCTTGGCGCACTGCGGCCTTGTTCTAACAAATGCGTAGTCAATGCTCACCTAGACCTCGCCATATTGCTTTTTCGGGTACCCGTGGGCTTACCCACGACCCGCCAAGAAGACAAGGGCCCGTAAATTATGGAATTATAAGTGTAATACAAACAATAACACATGCAACGTCTTGTCATATGGTAAATATTACTGTTATTTAATATTCTTGGCGGGTTTTGGGTCAAAAGGTCGAAACCCAACCCACGACTTTGGCGAGGTCTATGCTCACCACACAGATTGCGTTATTGTATCACGTGCGCTTTTGTTTATCATATATGTGCCCTAACCCCGCTGATTTTCGAAATCCATCTAAACCCCCATGGCGTCTAACACTCCACTCTTTGCCGGGGGTGAAAACTCCGAGCAACTCACATCCGATACAGAGGAGCTGCGACAGCAAGGATGGGCGTTAGATGACGAGAGAATGGGAGTTTCCAAGACCTTCCATTTTAAAAGCTATTTCAAGGCAGTGGTAAGCTCAAAACTTCCAAAAAAGGGGAACTCCACTGTGATAACTAAAGAGACTTGGTAGACATTCATGAGCACGATCGCCTCCGAAAGCTCGGTGAAGAAGCATCATCCCACTATGACTTTGGTAAGTACTCGCTCATCATCTTTCAAAAAGAAAATTTAAGTACATGCATAGCTAATGTGCGAAGCGTATCGGCACTGTGGATGTCCATTGGACAACGCATCACCCCCTTGGCCTCACCCGCAAAGACATTTTGATGGCTAGATTTTGCGACAGCTTGGCTAGTGTGATGAAAGCTGTTGAGCCTGGTCAGGAATTGAATTGTGGATCAGGAACAGAAAAACCCTCCAAAGCCTGAATTTATTCTTCAATGACCAAGATAACATTGGAGTCTTCCTATGATGAATTTTATTCAACCGTTATTTACTTTTTCCGTTTATGATGTTTTCGTCTTGAGATAAAGCATCGATTATACATTCAGAATGAATCTGCTTCAACTAAAAGGTAACTTATTCCGACCACACGGTGCATATGTCAGCAACTGAAAAGCCCCAGTCTCCATTTCTTAAGTGAGAAACAATGGTCAAAGTTGTGCACAATCATTAGTTCAAGCTTCTTGAGATCCACCACTGTGGAGCTAGCATAGTTTTATTCGGCAGATGACGAGTGGCATAACAGAAGGTGGACCCAGAGAAGTACAATTCGTCTTACAGTATGACAGCCTTCACAATCGCCGATATTCCATAGCCTCGTTGTTTCTTCTTTTCTTACACCAGGAAAAGAAATTGCTATGTGAGTCTGGTTGTGGAGGCCGGGATTGATGCTTGAATTACAGTATAAAACAGTGACGATGCAGAGTAATGTGACCAAATACCATCTAGCATAGCCAATTTGTCTGATTCAGATACAATAAGGCAATGGCCTACCCAGAAATCACATCAATTCTCCACCGATCAAACCCGGTCATACCTCATCATGCAAAACATTTTCTCAAAGAGTGCCAATACTTTCGCCAACTTGGACAAGGCACCTTTCTTCGGAACATTGCAAGTGCCGGCTCAAAATGGGTTTTACAGTCTCCCGTGAGCGGCAGAGCCCGCAGTGCAGTAAGCTTGCCAACGGTCCAAATGAAACTTTGATGCTCTTTGAGTTCCAACTCGATGCCAAAGCCTCTACCGCAAACGATACACCTTTCGGGTTGGCTGAAACGAGGAGGTGAATTTGGGCAATCCGTAGATTACTTTTCGCGGTATAAAAAACATCGACCTCGGCCACCTCGCTATGTATAACCAAAACTCCCAGTTTGGTCTCTTCCCAGAGCTCGCGGATCAAAGCCTCCAGTACAGTCTTTGCATCACATTTTCCACAAAACACTTCGTAGAAATTTGGCGATGAGTCAGCTACGGTGTGTGTTTTAAATGCACCCGCACTTTCCCTCTCTTTCAGTCGCAAAGCCAGGCCCTCACACTGAAGCCAGTACTCGATCAATGTCTTCCAGGCCACCCATCTGCCTTTCAAGGCTTTCAAGAAACAACACCTCTGGAACACTAAACTTTCGAGGACTTTCTGGATTTTTACAGGTCCCGTATGGGATGACGAGACGAAAAAACCTGTTGGCTATGTTTATGAACGGCGCGGTCAATGACTTAAGCCGCTACATCATCAATGTTAAAATTATCCGCAAACCCATAGGTACGAGGTATCTTGGCGGATTTAGGTAAATCACATTGCGGACAATTTTAATGACTCACAGTTCATAATGAGAACCGATATTTCTTGCTCCTGCTCCCGATATCATCCATGAGCTATCACATCGCCTGGTCAGAACCGCTCTTCACCTTTTTATAAAACCGCACAGGGTCATGAGAAACAAGCTACGAATGTGACAACGCAATTTTTGAATGCATTAGTGGTAATTTACAATGGTATTTAGTCCCCGAAGAATCATAATATTGGCTGTGTCGCTCCAAATTCCTTACAGGGGAGGGGATGTGCGGCCGATCCCCTTTCCCTTAATACCGTACGGCGCAGAAGCAAGATCCAGATGTGCGGCAAGGCATTGTCAGCTACCGACCTTTGCCTTGTTTTAACATGAATTGGGGCCAAACAAATTAATCTACTTCAATATGTCCCAATATGGGCGATAAGCAAGAAAAGAGAAAATGAAGCATATCTTTACGGCCTCCTTTGAGGGGCCAGATACTATAATTCCAATGCACTGTTTTCTGGGATACGGATCCTTTAGCGTGGTAGAAACGTGACGGTCCCAAATTCCGGAATTTGGAGCCAGAATCCCCTTTGACCAAAGCTGGGGCTTGCATACACCTTCACCGACTGCTGGACTAACATTGCATGAGGCTAATTTTGCGGAATTGGCTCTCGGCATGAGTGGAGAAAGCCTTTGGAAACTGAAGCGTTAGAAGTCCCAAGGGTGTGCGGTGGTCGATCAAAAAGGCTCCGCACCCGGGAAAACCTGGAACATGACCTATGAGTACAGCCTTCGGCTCCACAGATGCAGGCCTGCAGCTGGAACAGAGGTCTAGAGGCGTCTTGTAAACTCTGGCGTGGTATGGGGACGCGGTATGGAGATTACGTGCTCTCAGCCTCTGAATAATGGACCTATTACCCCTGTTTGAGACGTGTACACTAATGACAAGATGATGGGATCAGTTCAGGTCATTGATATAAATTGCATTTCCATACTTCGATACTCATCCACAAGTCTGATACTTGAAGTTTTCCGCGTCGTACACCGCGAAAATAGTGCATAGGTATTATCTCACATATCTCGTGTTATCTTTCTCTTTGACATATCGGAACTATCAGTTTACTAACCACTCATCGAAATCTATAATAGTTCCATTAGTGACCCCGTTTCCATCGTTGATATTCAAAAATTCGCCACAAATGGCCCAAGACAATCGCATGAGAAGTCCGGATTCCATTATTGAACGAACCACCATTATGAATCCCCTAACGCTGTTGGAGTATCTTCTTACATGCTACCCAATTTTCCTCCTGTTGTTGTTCGTCGCGGTTTGTGTGATCAAAGTGTTCGTCACGAGCAACATCGAGCAAAAAGTCTCGCAGAACAATTGTGGCCGGCTTCCCAGGCGGGCCCAGAACCCGATGGCTTCCGGTTACATTCAGCCCTTCTCCCGCACCGCCAAACACTGCTTTAGCTGGCTCTCAGCTGGTGTGCTTGTGACATTCTTTGCGAATGCGATGATTTATACCACCCATGTGTTAATGGCCCGTTCCGAGTATTGGTGGCGCGGGCAGTCTGTAGTGGTGCGTCGCTGTGTGCTCCGTTGAACAATACTTTTTCATGTGTGATATCCTAACAACCACAGATTTATATTGTTGGCTCTATTTTTGCCTATGCAGTTATTCTTGTCAGCATACTCGATACCGCCTCTTCCCCGACGGCCACTCAGCTCACGTGTTGGTCCTTCGCCATTCCTACCGAGCTCATTATTCTTACCACATCCCTCTCCATTTATACCTCAGACCACTATGAGCCAGTAGTCGGAGACCCCAACGGAGGTGCGATGCGCCAAGGGATCACCTTTTGGGAGTGCATGGAAGTTGTCCCCAACGGTTTCCGTATATTGATTCTGGTCTCTCTTGTTCTACTCTACTTTACCAAGTCCGGTGCTCTCATAGGCCATGATGGAGACTCAGAGGATGTGACTGAGACAACCAGACTGCTGAGCCCTCCGCACACAAAGATTTGTCTTGTTAATGACCCCGTCTATGGTTCAACAAGTGGAACTGCGAGACCCGCGGAGCCCAAACCGCGGAATTCCTGGGCGCGACCAGAAGTATTGCCATCTAGGAGCTATGTGGAGTATCTCAGTGGCTTCTCGCGTTTTTTTCCCTACATGTGGCCCTCCGAATTCCCCCGTCTACAGGCTGTGGCGGTGATTTGTTTCCTTCTGGTGATTCTCCAGCGAGTTCTCAATGTGTGGATACCCATCCAGATTGGGACTATTACTACATCTTTGGCAAATCAACAAGATGGAAATGGCTTTCAACCACCGTGGTTTGAGATCTCCATGTATGTTTTTTACCGCTGGTTGCAGGAAAATTTGGGGTCTTTGCGCTCTGGTCTCTGGATTCCCATAAGCCAGTATTCCTACCTGGGGCTCTCTACGGCTGGCTTCGAGCATGTTCACAGTCTCAGCTTGGATTTCCACCTGGAAAAACAGACGGGCGAGCTTTTATCAGCTCTGAACAAAGGGAAATCAATCAATTCATTCCTGGAACAAATATCATTTCAATTCCTTCCTACACTAGCTGATTTGTTCATCGCAATTGGGTACTTCCTAGTTGCGTTTGACGTTTACTATGCCCTCGTGGTTGGAATCTCGGCATTTGTTTATGTTTATGTTACCATTCGCATCGCTCAGAGGAATGCGAAGACCAGAAGAAAGATGGTTGATGCTTCGAGATATGAGGATGCGATCAAGTAAGTTGAGGTAAATACCAACGATCCGAGTCACAAGAAGGCTGATATGCATGCACACACAGAAATGATTCGTTGATGTCATACGAAACGGTGAAATACTTCAATGCTGAACGACATGAGTTTGACCGATACCGTCGCGCTATCTGCAACTACCAGAATGCGGAGTACTACACATTCCTCTGTGGGACCCTGTTAAACGCCAGTCAAAACACTGTCTTGTTGGCCTGTTTACTGGTAACGTGCTTCATCGCTGTGTATCAAGTCTCTTCTCTCCAGCAACCCGTGGGTCGGTTTGTTACCCTGTTGATGTACATGGCCCAGTTACAAGGTCCCCTGAGCTTCTTTGGGGCCTTCTATGTCTCCATACAGTCGTCTTTGATCAATGCCGAGCGTATGTTGGAGCTTTTTAAAGAGCAGCCAACAGTCACTGACAGCCATTGCGTTTCCCCACTGACCACTTGCCAGGGAAAGATTGAGTTCCGGAATGTTAGTTTCTCATATGATGCGCGGAATCCTGTGTTGACTGGACTCACGTTCACTTGTCAACCAGGAACGACTACAGCTTTGGTGGGAGAGTCTGGTGGGGGCAAATCTACTGTTCTCCGTCTCCTCTTCCGATCCTATAATCCTGAAAATGGGAAAATTCTCGTCGACGGACATGACGTCCAAGATATCACGATTGATTCTCTTCGTCAAAACATCGGTGTGGTTCCGCAGGATACAACGCTTTTTAACGAAACTTTGATGTACAATCTAAAGTACGCCAACAAGGACGCGAGTGATGAAGATGTGCACGAGGCTTGTTCCAAGGCTGGCATTCATGACAAGATCAAGGGTTTCCCAGATGGCTACAGCACCAAAGTTGGAGAGCGTGGGCTGCGCCTCAGCGGCGGTGAGAAGCAACGTGTGGCAATCGCTCGAGCTATCCTGAAGAACCCTAAAATCATACTGCTGGATGAGGCTACGTCTGCACTCGACACTAAAACAGAAGAGCATATCCAGAAGTCCCTAGCTACTCTCTCCAACGGCCGAACCACGCTCATTATTGCCCATCGGCTAAGCACCATCACGTCGGCAGAACTCATTCTAGTTCTAAGCGATGGCCAGGTGGCCGAGAGCGGTACCCATGAGGAACTAGTGAGTATGGAAGGCCTTTATGCCCGTATGTGGAGAAAGCAAAATGGCGAGGCAAAGATACTTGAAGGCCAAGACAAGGTGGAGTGCATTCAAGGGGATCAGCTGTACAGAATTTCACATACATAACACTGGCTACATATACAAGACGCTGAAAGAGCACCAAATGTTTGTCCCATAGTATATACGCTTCGAGTTCTTGATGTGTTTGCCAAAACCGGAGAATCGCGTGGATTTAACACGCACCCATTCCTGAGCAGCTATGATGTAATGACGAGCCCAATTAATCAACATGGTGAAAATCTTTGGATGAGGACATAATCCTTTATGCGACTGCTTTTTCAGTTCACACGTTTGTAAGTACGATACCATGAAGGCTTCAAATTCGCCATAAACATAAATCGGAAAATAGCGAGGTATTAAAAAGTGAGGATCTGGTTGGGGGAGATTAAAGATTGAGGGCCTCGGTCTTTTTCTCACAAAGCAGCCATGTGATCCAACACTACAGTAGCAATTCTGTCATGGATGAAATTGAACTTCGGATCGGGAGCCGACTATCCTCGAAGCTTCCTGCATCCACGGGTACCCCAAGTTTGCGCATATCTTAGCAACATCCTTGATAGAACATTTAAATATGGCTGGAGGGCAGGAAAAGAAGATTTGCGGACCAGAACTGCTGTGACCGGTGATTAAATTGAGTTTATCAACCGGGTTGTGGATCCAAAATCAAAAAAAGAAATATGGAAGCATGAAGAGACATGGCGTTGATATGGCCAACAGGGTGGTGCGAGAATGGGGTAAGCATCATTGATTTCGATGATAAGTTATCCAGGGGATTAAGAACCCCTATTGTGATAGTGATAAGTGGCGACATTACCGGATAGAATATTGAACGGGCATGGCTTAGCTCTGGGAGATTACATTCTCTCAGGTGGGTAAAGATCGTAGTTTTAAAGACCCATGCGCACTGAGAATGTGATGACGCCACTTGAGATCTTTCGAGACCTTCGAAGTTCCATGGCCTAGTCGCTGCCTGTTTTGGTGTCTCAAACTTCGCATCGATCTACGCACAAGCACTATACCACATGTATGCTAGCCTACTGCAATCAAAAATAGTAAATGTGACCAAGCATAATCAATCTTCAACCGGACAGGGGTAAGTCTAAGCAAGTTAAAATGGGCGCCTGCTTTCTCTTCTTACTGCCCATGTTTCATGCGCACGTTTCTAGTACCACACTCAACACATTTTCAAACCAGAAAGCGTCAAATACTATCGTGAAACCTATCCGTGAGCTCTTTCAAAGGTGTTGTCTATCTGGTTTGCTTCTCGGGCAAACACTCTTTGTCTGCCATGCATGATCTTGATAGATCCTCCCGGATTATAGCGGGTCACTGTGCATTTTTGGTGCTTGGTGTGGCCTGTTTCAGTGGGAAGCTATACCAACATTTCAACAAAAGAACAATACAAATAGACGACGGTTTTGTCATCGCAGCGACTGTGAGCCTTCGTTAAGTTTGTGATTCCCTTATGAAAGATCAAACAACTAATTACTTTGGTCTATATCTAGGGATTCTTGTCTCTTACCAGTTGCGTTACATTCTACAGCGTATCTAAAGGCTATGGGTTTCCAACTTCATCCTCGCCGTCCAACCCGCCAGGAGTATCACCTATTACATATATCTCGATTCTTTTGCTTGCTATCATCACAAACATTCTCTCGTCACTCGCTGTGACTTTGCGAGCCGGCAGAGTTTTTCCTCCCACCTACGGTGCTCCATTGACGATGGTGAAAATTCTCCTTCTTGTTACGGTCCTCTCAATAGTGCTATCTGTTATATGGGCTGTGTTGATCATCACAAATTACAAATTCCTTGATCTCTTTCAGGCGCGCTTGACGACGGAATATCACCCCCATAAATTACCCCGTCTCATACTTATCTGGGGGGCGGTCGAAAGCGGTATGTCTTCTTATTCCGTCTCTGCATTACTTATTAATGAAGCCCCAGCAATCTCGGGACTTACATATGTTCTTCATGCAATATTTCCAGCAATCATTATTTACAACATCCAAATGCACCCTCTGGAAAAGATCCGTTACTCTATAGTCATGGGCGCTGTGGTTTTGTACGACCTCTCTTAACAGTAACTTGTTGAGGATCTTGCTTACAAGGTCCAAGCTCAGTCATACCGGCCGTATGGAGAGCCATCGCGATTTTGCACCTTGCTCAGTCGGAAGACCTGCTGTGTGAGTGGCTTACTTCATGCCCCTCGCATCACGTACTGACAGCAGTCCATAGATGACAGCGTATATATTACGTTATCCTTGAGGTACGCACCGAGCTTTATCAATATCACATGAGCATTGAGACTTATACGCTAATCTGTTTCATTAGTTCTGAATCAATTACGATAATATGCGCTCTATCTATAAAGCCACTGTTGGATTTGATCAACATGGTGCGGAAAGCAAAATCAGGAAGCGTAGAGATCCCAGTGAGCATGAGCTAGAGTTGGTAAAGAGCGGAAATGATGAGGACACAGAACAGAATCAGATTTAATCAATGATACTACAAAGAAAATATACGCATCTGACATCACAGCAAATAAAATTAGTTTCGGTACACAATGCATATAAAACATGCATGTATTCAACCTTTTCATGAAGCTAGGATCGAACGCGAAGTTCTTCTCACGAAAGCCCAGAATGAAAATCCGTGGAAGGGTAGCCTCCAGCGTATGCCAAGAAGACCAGCAAGGGTTACTTGACCAATCAGAAACACAATCTCCGTCCCACTTTTACACAGTCTTTCAAAAAGTCGGTATTTGCATCTTTTTGAAAGAGGAGTAAACGTGGCGTTAGTGCAAAATGGAGACATTTTAATTCCCTCATGGTCAGTGATACAGCAGCAATCTTATTATCTTCTGAGCACTCAAGGTCAAAATACAGCGGACCTCTGTTGAAAATTCAGAAAACCCGTCGGAGTGGGGTATTCGACCATTATTATCATTCAACCCTGACATGGAGGGATACGAAACGAGCAAGCTGCATGCTATAGATTCTCTTACGAGGCTGAAGACAAGCTATGTGGCATATGACATGCCAACTTGCTGCAGCTCTCTGTCATGCTATTTACGGTAGGGTAAAGGATAAATCTTGCATTATCATCGATGGTCCTCGACTTAAAGTCGACTAGTCACATCATAATCGCTAAAAAAGGGCCTACAAGATAACTGGGTGATGTTCGCGTGGATGATTTTTTATCGCTGTGACACGGAAGATAGAAGGCCATATCTACGAAAAGAAAATAAACTTAGAAACAAATGGCACAATACAACGTTAACGCCATGATTTGAAGATATTAATTGTCAGGTAACGAGCGGATGCTCTCGATAGTAAGTAAAATGGCGTTGTTATATTAAAAGCTCATGCCTGGCGGTGAATTGTTCCCAAGCCTCATACCCGGGTCCTAGTCTAGCACCAAATCAGAAAATGCCAGTCATAAATGGTGCCATTGTGGTACGGCAGTAGTCTGTGATTATATTGTCGTCATACATTGTGTATGTGGAGGTACCAGAGGCGATGATGGCTCCAGCTATGTTGGGAAATTCGACAGCCTCACTAGCATTCGGATACACGAGCAGCACGGGGTCCATATGGTAGGCCACTTGGTTATAGTGGGGCGGTTGAAGCAGCTCCGGGTGCGAGGTATCTAGAAGGCCAACGAGTGAGGAGCTGCAATGGATGTTCTGCTGCGAGTGACTTGCTGCGCATACTTGACCATTTGTCGTACATTTCAAGCTATGAGATGATCCGGGATACAGGCTAGTGGAATAATTTGCGTTGGGCCAAGAGAGGCTCATCTCTTGCTCGAGTGTCCCGTATGGCGAAAAGTCTTGATTGGCATTGGAGTAGCCCTTTTCGAGGCTCCGGTCATGGGGGGGGTACATATGGTGGCGCTGGTGTCATTTTGGAAACAGTTGAGTCGGCTGAAAACTCGGATTCGGACCAGGCCGCCTCTTTTCGGTGGTTGGTGGCGCATTTTCGTTGCTTTCTAGGCGAGTATTTGTATTCCGGATGAACTGCTGTGTGAGCGTCACGCTCAAGCTTGGCCAAGTCTGCATACTTTTGCCTGACAGCAGATGGCTCAAACTTCCAGCCTTGACCCGCAATCTTGGAGACTACCCGATGGTTATTCACTCGGAAGAGCTTTTTGATTCGTTCCGTGTATGCCGAACGATACAGCATGAAGGAGTTCATTGGCCGGGAGATTCTTCCCTTAGTCTGAACCTCTTCCCTGCGGAATTCAGCAGGTCTAGCAACCCAAGTTTCCATATTTTTGATTGGAACATCAAGGCCCTCAGTGAGCTTGCTGATAGGCACTATAATGTTCAAACCAGTTGTTTGGAATCGGTGGCACAGTATGCTCTCCGCCTCACCTGCTCGTAAACGGCGGCGCGTGGAGAGAGGCGTACTTGTCACCTTTTTGCAAGTCAATGGCCAGTTCTGCAAGTCTCTCATTGTTTGGAAAGCATCCTTACCATTTCAGAAGAAATAGCATGAGAGAAGCTATCTGTACTTAATAATGGATGAGAGACATATTGCTTTAGGAATAAGCATCTTTGTAAACAAGGCTCACATTGTGGACTTACCAAGCAGAGGACTGTGTTTGAGTTGATACCATGAGGCAGACTCATGACTCTGTACACAGGCTGGTAGACACCACGACCTGCGAGGGAATCTCTTATGAAGCTGATTCCGTCTGTTGACTGGGAAGGGGAAGGATGAAGGAGAGCAGTGGAGAAGAGAGCATGGAATGGAAGCAGGTTATATACTGTTGGGCGAATGAGTAAAATGGACCCCGAAATACGCCACCCTTTTTCCCGGGAGACAAATTGTGCCTAGGCAGCGATAAGTTCCGTCGTAAGAGTCGTACGAGTCATGCTAGCGCATCCGAGTCGTTGAAGTTACTTCCAAGTAATCAAATACAGTCTCAATCCCGTACCCTAGCCCGCAAAGGACTGCTGGAGCCCTGGTGTAGGACAGCCAATAGGATATTATCCAATGCTCCCCTGAAACATGGAGTTCATAACCTCTGCTAAGTCGTTGTCGATATGATTATCAATCAATAGACCTATGACATGGCTGAAAGCCGCATTAGTGATTTGCGATAAGAAAACTGCCTGATCGAAATTTTCACAAACGTTTCGATTTGCCCTAGTCCAGCTCCCCCAATGAGTCGTATGGGTCTTTTGAGGCGAACATTCTATTGGTAACATTGGCTAATTTCTGGGGAACCAGAATGTTCGATGGCAAGCTATACGAACAAAACTGGTGACAATGCAGAGCTGCGCTTCGCGATTATCCTTGTACACAAGAAAGAAAAAACAAATATTCAATTCTTTTGAGTAGCTCTAACAGCAACTAAGCAAATGTAGTGTTCTTTGCGGAGCCTTCTGACCCGCGCAGCTCTTTGACGCTCGTAGAGTAAATATTGGGAGATCACATAGGGGTGTTCTGCCAAAAAAAAAAAAAAACTGCTTAGACTTACAGTTGTGGCTTATCGCTCTTGAATGGTCTGAAAGCTCGCGGAATCTATGCCTCCGTGGATGAATTTGTTGGATTATGTCTAGAGTCCCTTCTACATTTGGACCTTGGGCCAAAAAAAGGGGCAGATGAATTTCGCAACAATAATGCGGGTCAATGCTTATGCAAAATTGTCACTTGAGATTTGCAAATGATCGGCATCAGTGAGGTGCCTAGATCTTGTCCACACGAGGTCAGCCGCACTCTGCCGCCAGAAGGTTTCACCTAGGCATACTATATGCAGTTATTGAAGGCCACTAACTGCCGATATTCACAAAATCATCTAGCAACGCGCCGCTTTGCCCGACCAGGATTCATGCATTGAAGGATTTCAGCGGGTTCACTGATCATTGAGGCAAGCGATGCTTTTGCAACAAAGACCTCTGCAATTGGTATTTGTGAAGACTTGAGCAGCCGACCAGCCTTGCTTTGCTTGACCAACTGATCAACAACTGGAGAGCCAATCTGAAAAGTCGCTCTTGCTATCTGAACCCCGTCTTGAGGCGAACATAGCACTATCGAGCCTGCAAAGTAAGTCCGCGCTCTGAATACATGGCGGTTGAATGAATAGTTGCTGCTGCATATGTGGGTGTTGGGAATTGAAGCCATTTGAAGGTGTATCGAGGGTCTTTTGTTACGTGAGACGATCAAATTTACGAGAGTGAGCCTTTAGCTGCAGCAACCTCCTACCGTGTGGAGCAAATAGAACATGTACGCAAATGCACATACACTCCAGAATAGAATGGCAGCCTTGAGTGTCCATTGTCAAAGAAAGATGCCATCCCGTGGTAGCAACAATATCAGGTGGAAGGAATCTGTAATACAGTCTGAACGTGTGTTAAGTTAGAGACGTGTTCTGTAATCTTTCTAGAGCGTTCTGGTATCTCTTGCATGATTCTCAGCCAATATAGCATCTCCGTTATTAAAAAGCGACGCTGTTTAATATTTAGTATTGAAATGGGATAGCGCGATGGCAGTCTGGTCAAAACAGACGGGTCGACAATAGCAGTAGGAGCATAGGCAAACCCAACAAGAGGTAGAGCTATAGGAAAGGAGAGCACATAGGGATGGTCTGAAGAGAAGAATGTGTCTCTCTTGTTCTACGTAGAGTAGAGAGGTCTTAAATACATCATGAGTGCTGAAGCATCCATAGACCGCTACTTCATGCAGTAAGCAATTCCCCCACTACAGTATATATTTCTTAAATCTCAGGGGCACTAGAAGCACTGAAAGACTACTGTGCCTCCTTCAATAATTTCCAGACAGTAGCAAATTTGATATTCATTAAGCGTGCTGTAGCTACCTTTTGGGCAAGCTGAGGCTACTCAATTCATAATTCTGTTATAACGATCTCGGAACTTCTGAAGAAACATTTTAATACTAAGCCGAAATCAAGACTGACGCTTCATTGCAACGGATTATTTACTATCTACATTAAGCCAATTATTCGCTCGGTGTTTAGGTCGTTCCACGTGCTCATCAATTCTCGAATTGTCCAACTTCGAGGCAACTTTATGTGGGCATGAATGGTCATATTCTCACTTTATCCGTCAAGTTGCTCTGTCCATCGTAATTTGGTTTGCAGATATCGAGGAGGAATTTTTGCGACGTGCCCTTTTTGTGCCCAAATGGCAGTAACAGAGATGGCTTGCATTAATAAATTAGGGTATCCAGAGACGCGTTGGAGCTTGTGGAGTATCTTTTTGGCAACGATCGTTAGAATTTATACCTCGTCGAGTGGCTAGGCCTGAAAGGACACAGTAAGACCAAATCTAGCTGCCGGTACATATGAGATATGACCAAAAACCTTGTAGCCATATAAGGCCTTGCGCCTGTTCTCAAAATCTCACTCATAGTTTGCCCCATACACCACCTACTAGTTCTGTGTTCCAGCATTCAGTCCTATTATAGTGTTTCCATTGATTTCCCCAATATGATCTTGCTCTATTGAGTTGCATGCTCATCATAATCCGTGTAGAGGGGATATGCGGTTGGGTTCGGGATAACCACCACCGACATATACATATATCGCACCAGATCATTTGTTTTTGGCTGTGTATTGCAGAAGGCAGAGATGCAGCAGAGAGAAGCAATAGCGCAGCTTACATCTGGGGAGCCGCTTCGGTCGGTGGGAATCACTTCGGCGGTCGGAGGTGAATGTGAGTCTCACCAATCTTCTCAACTCTTGGTGATAGTTGTATGAAGGTGGCTGAGGCGAGCATGGAACTGTGCCCTGATCCGTGATCGTGGTTCACCTGGCTTAGAGGAAAAGAGAATGAGCATGGTAAAATCAGTATCAGATAGAATAACAACAAGGAGCTTCACAGACGTGGCATGTGAAGGGGAATACAGGTTGCCCATGCTGGAAAATCAACGAGAGGCAGACCTGGCAACCATTGAAACATAAGGCTTACTCCTTTATTCGCACCCGCAGAATGAGTCATTTGTAGCACATTGCCTGCCCCCAGTCGTCCTTCCTGGAGTGGATCAGACGCTGCTTTGAGCCGACATTGTCAGTAATCAACCTCAGGGGTTCAGCGTCATCCCCAATTTTGGCCCAGGATGCCACTGAAACAATAGGCAATGCGGGGTATATTTGCGAGCATGCACATACCCAACTAAATAGGCTTCAAACACCAAGGGCCGACTGAGTAAGGCCAGCATAGTGTCACGATTGGACAATATTGCAATGACAAATTGGGGGGTGTTCAGAAACGATGCCTAGAGATAGCTCGTTTGCGATTCTCGGGCCAGCGGTGACCAGCATGCCCGGCCTTCTGATGGTATAAGCGGTACACAGGGGCCCAGGAAGGAAATTACGGGCTATCCCATTTCATTGATGACTGTAGCCCAAATCAAGTGTCTGAGTGGCTAGTCAAGGGACAGCGGGTCGGATTTCGCGCTTTTCCTCGCTCCAGTCTCCTTACTCGCGCACGCTTCGTTTTGAGTTAAGCTTCATCTGATTTTCAATCCAAATTCAATGAATTAGAATAGGCTCTGGGATATTTGAACTTATCCACTTTCCCAAAGGTGTCCTACCTGCGAATATGGTGCTCTGACGTATCGCCCAAGAGGCGAGATACCAAGAGGCGAGAATGAGCTCATGGCAATTCCAAAGCAAACACCCTGTGACCAATATTAGAGCAGACCGACACGGTCTGACATTCTTCTATTATTCTCACCGAATTGTTCGCCCCAGAACAACTATCACTAACCATTCTCTCGACCAGCAGACCCCTGAAACGCCAACCGATTTCGATGTCACCCCACAGGACTACATCGCACAGCGCAGCAGTATGACCAAATCTTAAATAGATCCTCTTATATTATCTTACCGCCAAGGCAGGCCATGCAAAGATTACAGCAACAAGTTCTATGAAAATGCTGCCATCACCGACGATCATAATCATGGACCTATAGTTCTATACGGGCATGTGTGAACGCAAGGTTGAAATTTTCGTAAGATTGAAGAGAAAGCGCTATTGGCTTTAAATGGGCTCAGAGAAATATTCAGATCTACGAAACACCAGCCATTACAAATGATACGCTCAAACAAATTGGTAGGAAGCGCAACATGAAGAATGAAAAGAGGCTCATCAGAGGGGTGGAATACCAGTTGTTCCTCACGCAGAGCATTCTCGTGGTCGTTTCTGAGGCGCTTCATGATTCTGTCGATGCTCACACGGTCCTCAAAATACAATCTCCCGATCGAGTCAAGGTAGGCCGTTGCGAGCTCCATAGCATGACGTGCCTGATCACTCGAAGGAGGTTCGCGAACGCTGGTTGGCGCAACATGGTTCAAGCCTCTGTTTATCATATTCGCGTGGATGCATTGCTGGTGTATCCGTTTGGCTTGGCCATCCTCTGTGCATGGCTGGTTGTGAGCAAATAACATCATGTTTTCCCGCTTGAATTTCTCCAGCCAGTCCTTGCCCAATGCCTCCCTGCCTTCAGTAAGACTGCAGGCGTCGGAAAACGCCAGCGCCTTTTTCATGAGTATCTCGTCATTTATTGGAGTTTTGCTTGTTTGGAATTCCTTTACCAAGTTCGAAAGCGCCGTTTTAATGTCAGGAATACGGCGCTTAGTTCGGTTTTCTGGAGACTGGCCCCGGTTGTTGATGGCGAGATATATCCCCTTCCGGCGCAATATCTTTGTCACAGTGCTAAAGCTTCATGTCAGTACGTTGGGGTACAGAATTGTTGGACAGATATTCTTAGCTTACCTTCTTTCCAATCCGAATAAGGCTATCCAATTATTAGTGTCAACATATTGCAATAACGCAAGTATACTGCACTTACTTCCAATTTCAGTATGTTTTGCTGCCTTGTCCCGTTCATGGTATAAACATATCATTTTTCGGTATTTGTCGGTAAGCAGCATGCGAGGTGTTGATTTGCCAGTAGGTCTTTTGCGAGAGCGAGACGCCCACGCCGGCGACGATGGGAGAGCCGATACCGGGGCCTGGTTCGGAGAAGTACACGATTTGTAGATGGTCGACGAATTTATTGTGATGGGTGGCTGCAATTGTGGTGGCACAAAGTAATTCATCGAGTGAGTCATCGATCCATATGGCAGCGGTACTTGTATATCGTACAAAGCATCCGCTTCCATACGCATCCAGGGGTCGAAGTACGATGGTTCCATTGTAACCCATGTATGCTCAAAACTGTTATGCAGAGACCAAAATGTTTCAGAGCCCGTGGTTTCTGAGTTCTTCAGAGATGATACCAGCTAGAACGATGTCTCTTTTAGAGGGAACGCAGGGGCGTTGTTGGGATTGTCATTTCAATCAAGTATGACAAAAAACAGACAAGCAAGTTGTGTACAAGGAGAAATGAGAAACGAAGCTGTCAAAAGATATGGGACATTCCCGGGAGGTGCGTAAAAGACCTTTCCCCAGGGTAACGCTAGCGAGTATAGCTGTATATGGAGTTCAGTCACGCATCTTAAGGTACAGATCACGGTGGACCCGGTGGGATACACCGTAGTCTGCTCTTGCCCAGATAGGATTCCGGAATTACAGAGACAAAATCCAAACCCTTGGTACAACCTTCTGTTTGTCCAAGTAGCAGATTAAATGATGTGATCCACCAGCGAGTTGGTCGCTATTGGCCACGCCAGCATACTAGGGCCTTTGTCGTGGCTGAAGCCGCCTCAGTGCCAAGGAAAAGTCAGTTACCTGAAGTACCTCGAGGCTTGGTCTCACAGGTAGAATGAGAATGTTACCCTGCACGAAGACTGTGTGTGGTAAACAGAGAGGGCCGCTCTGTCCTCGAACCAGTAATACCCCCTGTCTGATAGCACGGCACTAGTAGGGGTAATCCATGCAATAGATTTCAGTGCTATGCCGATTCAGAAAGTAGATGGGCCCGCCAAAGGCTGTTTCCTAGCCAATGGGGTCCGAGGTAGCCGACAATTCTGTGATTTGAACCTTCGCTTCGCATACACTGCTGGTTCCACCGGCCGAGGCTTTCACTGGGCACTGGTCCCTTCGGGGATTGACTATGCAGCTATTTTCAGCCCATTAAATAAAACTTGCAGGAATTTTACGGCATACCTCGTATTACCAGGGGTAGAGCCCACCATATAGCAGGGACTTCTCCGTCCACTCCCATTTCTTGCACTAACTCAAAAAAGAAGTCAAATCCGACTTTGCATTTATCTACTCTGTGACTTATTTCTCAATATGACCAAGATTACCATCCAAAAATCCTCGTGACGGCAGTCTTAGGTCATCTGTCAGATCCCATCAGGAAGCAGCTGGGAGAGTGTTACTTGCGGAGTCTACGGTAAGCTTTTCTCTTGCTTATTCCTGGACTCTGGCTAAGTTTTGAGGTGCTTAATTAGTGTCCTCAATCAAGACTTGGCCCAGTAAAAACGACGAGAAGAATGATCGAGATACCACCGCCATTGACGCTACCTTCTGATTTGTCTGTACGCTTTTCTGATGCGGCAGCTAATCAGAAATGGAAATACAAATCACTCTATCAAGGCCACACAAACGGATGGTAGCTCGCAGGTTATTAATGTTAGCGTTATCAATGGCAAGTGAACTGGCGCAGTCGCAACGCATAGCCTCCGGGACGGTTCCGTAACAAAATAGCAAGTTCTTTAACGGAGATATGGACAGAGAGAGCTTGATTGCGTTCTTTTGTGGGGACTGCTGATATGAATCGAGCTTCCATGGTCTTCATTGACGTTTTGATAATCAAGATTGGTGACAAGAATAGGTTAATTCTTACCCTGAAATCAAGGATAATTTGCCAATCTAGTTCACTTTTCTAGAATCAGCCCCGTGGTAAATTCCGATCTTCTCTCGCATTCCATTATCCCTTCGCTACGAAAATTGAGCCACAATTGATGCGTTGGATACAATCGTAAAACAGCAAATAGAAAGACCGTATTTCAAACAAAACACAGAGAGGGTACAAACTTATATTTAAACTGAGAACACCCATAGTTCTTCTGTACTCATTAAAGTCTATGTCTCTCAAATGCAATCCTAGCCCAATAGGCTTTCTAGAACAACAAGGCACAGGCATTCGCTCAATCTGCAGAAACACGAACTATCGTTTGAGGGCAGCCTTTGCTAATACGAAGGACTTCCAGATAGACGAAGCTATAAATGGCTTTGCTCTACTGCTCATGAGCCACTGTCAAAATCTGGTAAAATAGTTTCCATTGCTGTTGATTTATCTTATAGATTCGGAATATGCGAGATGAAGTCTGCTCGGTGTCAATAACATTCACGCGCAGGTTAAGAGGATGGCGTACGTTTCAACTGGACCTGACCGGAATTCTCCAGCTCTATTAGCCACAAACAAAGGCGAAGTCTCCATTTATCTATCGGTTCCATCGGTGTCATCTTCAGGCCACTTTGCAATATCGCCGAAACGGTACGCTTCTGGCCTTTTGCAGTTGGTGACTTGAGAAATAAGTTTACCTGGATGGCCAACAGACTAAAATCCTGTGGTAAAGCTGTACTTGTGTGTATCCATGTTTTTAAAGCGCTTTTGCATGCATGACTGGTCGTTCGCATTCGCAAAATTTGTTTGTAGAAAGAGCGCATGCAAGCTAGACCGCTGCACGAAGGCACGAAGCGTCTCTATGACAACCAGACATTCAATCCCTAGAATCAGCTCAATCCATTACTAGAACAAGATAAACTTTGGTCGAGCAAGACCATCGGCTTTTTCATTTGGAACTGGGGGCACCTTGTGAATGAATATGCTCTGTAGATGACCGGCGCCACCAAAGTGAACATTCCCGGTGTCATTTGGCGTGCCTATTCTGGCGATCGAGAGAGATTTTTTTTTGATGAGATGCAGCTATCAATCGAGGCCTTGAAGTCGAACTGCCTTTTTGTATCGCAATCGGAATCCATTTTAGAAAGTTGGCTTTGACCATAACGGGTGCTTTGTCGTCACGCCACGTTGGTACGAGTAATGTTGCTGCTCGTATTGAAAATGCCCTTTATTTTATTAGAATGGGACATGGAGTGTGTAGAATGCTTACCTACACGCAGTAATCAGCAGCAGAGCTGGTAGTTGTAGTTAGTAAATGGCATCTGCGGTGGTAAATTGGAAAGATACCTTTCTTTAATGATCGTCCTTGGTTGCCCCAGGACCGGGTCCTTTTTCAAGCTGTCGGCCACACATGGCTTCAGTAGCCAAGGATGTATCGCTCTCTCAGCCTCAACAAATATATCTTCTTTCAACTTCACCCGATGAGTAAAAATATCGCTTCTACTCTTCATTAACATGGTTTGAAATTGTCAACAGCAAACAAACTTACAATGGCACGCCCTGCAACGACCAAACTTGCCATTCTATACAAAATGGGTCCTTGAAGTCAGCCACAGATTTTGTCTGTGTCCGACCCTCTTCAACATGAATGACGCGATAGGACGGTTTAGCAACGGCCTGAAACTGGCCGTTCCGGGAAATATCTCGAAAAACATTGTTATTCTGGGCTCGGGGCTTAAAAATAGTCTGAACCACTGGTTTGAGTGGCCGGCTTGGCGAAGTGAGCTCATCTTGGTAACACGTGATGCTGTGGCACTTCAGTGCATCTTTTCTAGAAAATGCCCGCCCACACCGGCAAATGAATGGTTTCTCTCCGGTGTCTGATAATGATTGAGTCAGTATAAGAAAATATTTGGACAATTGACAATTGCTTTACGGGTGCGAATATGACGCCTCAAACATGACTGTTTTCCGAAACCCTTGCTACATTTCACACAGGTGTGCGCCATTTCTTCACGGCGTCTCCTCAATTGCATTGAAGAGAACGGCTCAGGAGGCTGCACGGAGGTAGGCTGCGGATTCATTGGCTTTAGCATCGCGCCAGAGCTCGAAGTCCATGAAATCCTATGGGAATCTCCTGAGGGGTTTTGGCAAACAGGTGGCATTTCTTTCAAGAAGTCAGTATAAAGTCCCGAGCTCTACTACTCATAAGGCTGACCATTTTGTCCAGTTATCAGTGCGCTCTGAAGAGGCAGGCCAATTGGACGGTTTCGATGCGAGTCGGCAAGATTGCAAGCTATGCCTAGACTTCTATCTATTGGTGGTGGATGGTAGTAAATTGGGTAGTGTACCCGCGGATACGTGATTTGTGGAATGTAGGAACTGGGTAGGGTTGACGGGTTCCCTTGATTTTTCGTGAGCATCAGTCTCTGAAAATGTCCCTTTCCGAACCTCAATGGGGGGTTGCGAAAGGAATACCGAGGTTGAGAAAAGCAGCGCTTTGGTATGGATAATGTTGCGTTGCATCGGATACAAACCAGTTGCCGTTGGCATTGAGACCCGGCATACTACTATCTGGCAGTAATTGGGCAAATGTTGACGGAGGAAATTCCATGGTCAGCCAGATATGAATCTATGGAGTTCTTCCAGGCATAAAAGTGACTGTAACTCAACCGGCTATAAACTGGTCGGAAGGGGCAATAGATGTACTCCATAGAAAACAAAAAGGAGTGCCCGGGATGATGTACAAAGATATATTTGAGATCATGTAAACGATCAATGCGCAGACTCCATTATATAACGCACACTTATGGATCCAAAACACGGGGAGACTCCACACAAGACCATATGGAAGATGTGTGATGTGCGTTGCGGCTGCATGAACTTATCCAGGAAATGATGGACTTGACCTAGCCCTCAGCGGGCGGAAGAGGCGGGCTCGGTGGCGGGTCCGCACTTCTTACAAGTGGTCTAGGTGTCAAAAGCGGCAACAGGATCTCTTTGCCTGGATGTCCTTTCCCACAGTTTCCGTCAGTAATTAATTCGATGAATTATGCTGCATTGAAAATTCATGTAATCACGGAGCTGATACCGAGGGTCCCGAGAACCCCATTGTGAAGCTATGCTCGAAATGGTTAGTCTGATGCACTACGTAATTGAAGTACTGAGCCCCACAACGATAGGGTTGCGGCATGTGATCGTCTCAGCCCAGCGTTTTGCATACCGTATTGGCATCCGACGGTGTAGTCCCACGGGTGAACACTCAATAATCACCGCGCAGGCCTGACCTGCACTGTGGAGCTCGTCTGAGAATAATAACCAATGACCACCGCGCAGGCTTGACCTGCACTGTGGAAACGTGTAGAACGCCATTGCGGGAATGCCTGTTAGGATAGCCAATGATTGTTGCGCAACCGTAGTTGGCACTTTGCCAGCCTCTTAACATCCGCTTACCACCTACACGGTTATCCACACTACCATCCACCGGGCCATTGCTGCCATCCCCACTCTCGTTCATGAAGTCAAGAAATCAGTTTACCGTGACATGTCCGGAACCAGACACCGCTTTTCTTGTTCCAAATGGCAGAAGCATTTGACTTGTATTAGAGATAATAAGGATAGCTAGATATTCAAATTTAAGGAATGGAGTGACTCTGCGCCATGAATGTGGACTTGATTCTTCGAATCTGATGAGCCCTAAGATGCCACAGCTTTAGGCAGATTCTACCGGAAGACGGGTACTGTGAAGTTTCTGGTATATACGGACACCCACCACCATCAATTTAGGACAGGGACTGAATTTAAGGCCCCAATCACCTTCGCGCAGAATTTGGAAAAGATCGCGGCAGCACACCTTGCTGGGAGGCTTCTGATCTATGGCCCGGTAAAAATTGCCTGCAGCAATGGAGCCGCCAAAGGATTTGGGGTTTCCAAGCAATTCCTGTTACGGGAAGCTCTATTGAAGATTTTACTACATCTGGCGTTAAATGACAGTGAATTCTATGCCATGCTTGTTCATGCTCGCACCGGTCTTTTATTTCTTGATTTACTCTTTGGATTTCCGTGCCTTTTGGTTGAGATTCTTAATGACATTTGGAGAAACCAAATTTATAATTGATGAACATTAATGTGCATGCTCCACGAACGTGACTAGTAAGCACTAGTGTTAGCACTGATCTCTTTTCCAGCATCCAGCGAAAGGGTGCACGGAATCTGGAGGCTAGTAGTGATCATGCCTTAGCTTTCGCTATATCAGTGTTATCCGCCGCGCTCATCAACCTTCGGTATTGTTTCGTTACTTCCGCAAATATAGAGAGTAAATAAAGCCTCACTCCCATTCTATAAAGACAATAAGAATAAGCGAATTACGTCCTCTCTTTTGGGAACATAAAATATTCCTTAGCTCTGGATATGGGACCAAGATGCTCAGGATTCGACCTGCGCTCAGAGCTGTAGATACTCCTACGTACGGTTGCTCTATGGTGCTTTTGCATTCACCACGAGTGGAGCAAGGCCGGCAAAGGATTCAAGGCTAGAACAGACATGACCGTGAAGATCAGTCAAGATCAGGAGAAATTATCTCTTTTTGTCCAGCTTACCTCCTTTTACTAACAGGTTTTATCCTCGCAACAAGCCAAGACAAGGTACTACGCACGTAGCGAACAAGTTCCAAGCAATCTGCGTACCTGATGGCGAATCCAGGTGACTTGTCTCTACTATTTGGCAAACAACATGGCTTACGAAATGTCCTGGGGTACGTGGTAGTCGATCAAAGAAGCTCCGCACTCCGGGAATCCTCCACCAGTCTAGGCCTTGATATCGCAAATGCAGGCCTGAGATCGGAGGCAGAGGTCTAGAGGCGCCATGCATACTCTCATGCGGTATGATGTGTACTTGCCATCACTCTCCGGGTAATAGACCTATTCTACCCCTCTTCGAGTCTTATCTACTAGTAATGACAGGACGGTATAAGCCCAGGCTAAATATATAGCTTACACCTCCATGTTTTGATGTTCATTCGAAACGCTTGTATCTGATATTTTTCTTCCATTATATACAGAGACAACGTTGCAACAGAACAGGTACTATCATTTATATTCATCGTCACCTTTTGCGAGCCACTCCGTCCAGTCTAGAATAGCTCCTTTGCTACCTGAAATCAAGCTTCTCCTCATCGTTGCTTGTCCGAAAATTCGCCGCAAATGGCTCGAGACAATCGCCCAAGATCATGTTATTCTGACGTTCTTCAACGAACTGCTCTTGTGAATCCCCAAACGCTGCTGGAGTATCTCCTAACATACTACCCAGTCTGGCTTATGTTGCTGTTCGTCCTAGTCTATGTGACTAGAGTGGCCGTCAAGAGCAAGCTCGACCAAAAAGGTTCACAGAACAACGGTGGCCAGGTTGCCAGCCGGATCCGGATTTCGATGACTTTCAGCCAGATTAAACCATTCTCCGATACCGTCAAGCACTGCTTTGAATGGCTCTCTGCTGGTGTCCTCGTGACGTTCTTTGTTGATGCCACAATTTATGTCACCCATGTGTTACTGGCCCGTGCCGAGTATCGGTGGCGCGGGCAGTCCGTGGTGGTACGTCTCTATATTCTTTACCCTGCGATAATATAAGATATCTAATACCCGCAGATTTATATCACCGGCTCTATCTTTGCCTACGCAGTCATTCTAGTCAGCATAGTCGAAACCACCCCTTCCCCAACGGCCACTCACCTCACATGTTGGTCTTTCGCCGTTCTTGTCGAGCTCGTCATTTTTGCCACAACCCTCTCGCTGACCACCTCTGTCTATCATAAGCCAGTACTCGGTAGCCCCAGTGGAGGCCCGATACGCCAAGGGATCACTTTTTGGGAGTGCACGGAACTAGTCCCCAGTGGTCTCCGTATCTTGATTCTGTTTACTCTTGTTCTACTCTACACCACCAAGTCCCGTGCTCCTATAGGCCATGATGAGAACTTGGAGGGGGAGCCAGGCCATATCACTGGGGCAACTGGACTGCTGAGGTCTCTGCGCACATCGGGCTGTCCTAGTAATCATCAGGCCTATGGTTCAACAAATGGAGCTGCGAGACTAGCAGAGCCCAAAGCACCAGGATCTTGGGCTCGACCAGAGGAGTTGCCACCATTGAGCTTCCTCGCCTATCTAGGTGGTTTCTTACGGTTCTTTCCTTACATGTGGCCATCCAAGTCCCCACGCTTACAGGTTATAGCTGTGGCATGCTTCGTTCTTGTCATGCTTCAGCAAATTGTCAATGTGATTCCTCCCGCTCAGATTGGGGTGATAACCACGGTTCTGGCAGATCAGCAAGCCGGAAATACATTTTACACGCCATGGTTCGAGATAGTCATGTATGTTTTCTGCCTGTGGCTACAGGCAGTTTTGGGCTCTCTACGCACTGGCCTATGGATTCCGATGGGCCAGTACTCTTACTTGGAACTTTCTGTTGCTGTCTTCGAACATTTTCACAGCCTTAGCTTGGACTTCCACGTAGAAAAGCAGACGGGTGAACTCCTGTCAGCTCTGAGCAAAGGCAAATCGGTCAATTCATTCCTAGAGCAAGTCACCTTCGAGTTTCTTCCTACATTAGCTGACCTACTCATTGCAATTGGGTACTTTCTGATTATATTTGATGTCTACTATGCTCTTGTGGTTGGAATTTCGGCATTTATTTATCTATATCTCACGATTCGCATGGCCCAGTGGAGGGCGAAGACCAGAAGACAGATGGCCAATGCTTCGAGACACGAAGATGCTGTGAAGTAAGTCTCAAAGTCATCTACAATCCGAATGATACCAATGCTGAAATATACGCATAGAAATGAATCAATGATGTCTTATGAAACGGTAAAATATTTCAATGCGGAGCAACACGAGTTTGACCGCTACCGCTATGCTGTGTGCGATTACCAAATTACTGAGTACTACTCATTCCTCTGCGGAGCCATGATGAGCACCATTCAAAACACTGTCTTGATGATCTCTTTGTTATTCACATGCTTCATCGCTGTATACCAGGTCTCAACTCTGCAGCAGCCTGTGGGCCGATTTGTGACATTGTTAATGTACATGAAACAGCTGCAAGGCCCGTTGAGCTCCTTCGGTGCGTTCTATGTTTCTATACAATCTGCTTTGATCAATGCTGAGCGCATGTTGGAGCTTTTCAGCGAGCAGCCGACAGTCACTGATATCCCTTGTGCTACCCCACTGGCCACTTGTAAGGGAAAGATCGAGTTTCGGGATGTTGGCTTCTCATATGATGAACGGAAGTCTGTATTGGATGGTCTTTCGTTTACTTGTCAACCCGGATCCACTACGGCCGTGGTTGGAGAGTCCGGTGGGGGCAACTCCACGCTTTTCCGTCTCCTCTTCCGATACTACAACTCTAAGAATGGCAAGATCTTCGTCGACGGACAAGACGTGAAGAAAATTACTATTGACTCTCTTCGAAGACATATCGGTGTTGTGCCGCAGGAGACGAGACTTTTTAACGAAACCTTGATGTACAACCTCAAGTACGCGAAACCCGATGCCTGTGATGAAGACGTCCGCCGGGCCTGTCGCATGGCCAACATTCACACCAAAATTGAGAGCTTCCCAGATGGCTATAATACGAAGGTTGGAGAGCGCGGACTACGTCTAAGCGGCGGCGAAAAACAGCGTGTGGCAATCGCTCGTACCATTCTCAAGAATCCTCAAATCATACTGCTAGATGAAGCGACTTCCGCGCTCGACACCCAAACTGAAGAATACGTCCAAGAATCCCTAGCAGCTCTGTCCAGGGGCCGTACTACGATCATTATTGCCCATCGACTGAGCACCATTAGGTCAGCAAACCGCATTCTGTTTCTAGAAAACGGCATGGTAGTCGAGAGTGGCACCCATGAGGAATTGGTGAATATGAAAGGCCGTTATGCCGGCATGTGGCGAAAGCAAAATGGTGAGGAGAAACTTTAAGCCAAAGGCAGGCTGGACTGTATCCAAACGGATCAGCTATAGGGACATCTAAGTCACGATGGTCTTTCTAGTTCACGGAAAATACGTCAGAAAAATGGGAGATGCTCAGGTCAAGCTTGATACGTTCTCCAAGAGTTGAGGACCGTGATCCATGGCTCTGACCACTAGAGAATTGTGAGGGGTTGTCATTTAGTTATAGCCAATAGCACTATACAACTCCTCCCTACCAGTTCTTCAATCAAAAGAGTGTCGTATTATCATCAATCCTCGTGCCCATCAACAGGTGAGCTTTGTTTAAAGAAGCCCCTATGACCTATCCGTATCTTGGTAGTATTGCTCCATATCACAGATTTTAGACATGGATCGCTATACTTACTAGTGACGATAAATTCGAGTATACTTAGCAAGGTCGGTCAGTATGGCGACGGACAGATTGTAACAAAGAAGATTCTTAGGAAATTTATTGAAATGACAGGTCCAACGGCAATTTATGTTACGCTATCGTAAAGTTTCCGTGTATGCGCCTCACATTTTGACACTACGCACAGACTAGACATTTATTTTCACACCGCACTTATGAAGCACATACGGGCACCTTAGATTGTTCCAGGGTCTCAAGGCTGACTCTCAAACAGTGAAAAAATTTGTCTTGACAAATACAATGGTAAAAATATGCAATACCTAGACACCCAATCATCCAACGCCCCAATCCTCCCTTAAAAAGACCCACACGGGGGCTGAGCTCCCACGGGCCTTCCCCAATTCTAGCCCAGCTGTTACGCATCTAGCCCGAGCAGGTTAATTCGGTCAATAAGGGGCAAAGGTCAGCATTGAGGCTACTGTAGCTGTATTCAATTACTTAGCACAGCCTTGCGTCTCGGACGCGAGACGGTCACGCCTCTGGCTACGTCTCTGCCTCATGTCACTCACGCCAGCACGAAAGCCATCTTCAAGTATTTTGGCCATGCGCTCATCAACCAAGCCAACTCCATTGTAATTTTTTATCAGGGGCTGGTGTAGGATCTTATTTTCTTCTTGACATACAACAAGACTAATTTCGAAGTAGTTCCCGAGCAGGCTAACCAACCGACTTTTACCATGTCTTATTCTGAGGTCGCGATATATTTTTGCAACGTCGCCAATCATAAAATTGATACTCAACCAAATTCGAGGAACAATATTGAGATACATCTCGGCGTGGACTTGTCACTTCAGCTAGCACAAGACATACGTGACGCCAAGGGGGGCGATAGCATCGAATCAGAACTTGTTATCCTAATTGCTCGACTTCTGGCGAAATAACTTGCTACCACCTCCTATACTCCGTCGATCAATAGCTAGTATCTTTCAATGTCACAATGTCAAAGTAGACCACACCTCCGGGAATACCTCAGGGCCTTTACGGATTATCGTGCAATGGTGGTCAAAGAGGATCTTTCCTGACTTAGGAAAAGCATCTGAGGTACAATTGACGACTATGTTGAGTGTTTTTATATGTATCTTTTGTTAGGTGAGATAGACACCCATGCGAGACTCTACTTAGCAGGGACTGCGAGTTCCGTTACCCCTAAGGCCGACTAGACTTCGGTAAGAGATAGACTGATTGAGAGGTTGTTCATTTGATTGACATAGCTGCCTATGCTGGAATTGCCATCCTCGTTTGTTAGACAAGATTCTTTGCCAGCTAATGCAGACATATTTATGCCAGAAAGCGCCAGTAAGCTGAGTTCCATACTTTAGAAAGATTTAAAGGAGTTCTAGACAAAATACTGTCAATCAATTATTGTCGAATAACCCACGCGCCATGAAATGGTTTCAGACTGAAACCAATCGCGTTGAAATCTCCTATTGCATTACCGGCAAGAGTGTACTGTATCCACCTGGCCAAAATGGTGATTACTGTCAAGCACTGATAAATGTAAGTGCATCCACAGAGTCGTCATTTCCACAAAATGACTAATCAGTCTTAACAATATGAGCAGGTACTATCTGTTCGCATTGCCTAATGTTAAATATTAGCATTTTATCATGTATCAATCATCGTCAAAAATGAGGGTGGAGGTACTGAAGTCCAATTAACATGTTGCAGCCTAGCTACTATCGTAATGGCAATACAGGCGCTTCTATTCAGTGGAAGTAAGAGCTGGTCCGTACGCCTGATAATGCCAATATATTATAGCTTGCTCCTGTAGCGAGAGAAAGAGTACCAGCTCTACATACAAACCAAATCCGGGACCAAAACATAAGAGAAACCCGTTGCTGAATGGCACGAGGTACAAGAGTGCGCAGAAGCACCAGCTGCCATTCCCCTGTCTTCACAACCTTCTAACTCATATCTCCTCTCCATTTAAACTACTCCCCTTCAAATCCTGCATCAGCAAGATTAGACTCCGTTCTTCATTCTCACTTCAGCCTTGGTTCCTGTTGAATGTTTCTCATGTTCGTAGGACTTCCGCCCAATTAGGCACTGTTTAGTTGAACAGCGTGTCCAGGGCCGTAGTCTCTCAACTCTTTATTGTGGCAGCAAGCGTTAGTGAGTACCCAGCATCTTCGGGACTTTGCTCCATGACCGGGGTCGAAGCCTTGAGCTTCATGATCGGATTTTAGATGGGCATATTAGAGATGAGCAAGCAGGCCAGGTCTATTTGGCTTTTGCCCAGGGAAATAGCTTGGCGTATCGCATACTGAAGGCCGTGCTCGACTGATTGAACCTCCGATCGAATGTGGTCAAGGACATGTTCGCTGAAGCCTTGAGTGCAAAGATCGCATTCAAAGGAAGCTTCAATTCGCATGGTCTGTATAATCGACTCAGTGTCATGGCGGTCGTAGAACGACAGGGTATACTGACTGTTAAAGGCTCTATTATCAAATATGTAATGTCGGTCCAAGTTGATATTCAACAAAATCCATTTTCCTTGATGAAGAGTTTTACCTCACGAAGGGAGGCCCAATTTTGGTATTGTGAGCCGCCACGGCTCATTTGCAAGACGCATGAGTTGCGAAGATGATCCCAAATCATTACACAGAGAGCTGGTATCTCAGCCAGTAGGGATAAACTTGATCCCTGATGTATCCGGAGGCAACCAAGTAGTTTGGTCTTCTTTTGCTCATTCTCTTGGCACTGTAGCGGAGGGCGCAATGAGTTACGGACACCTTAATTGGCCGGCAAAGTAGCGAGATAAAGGTGAGCTGATTTTATTTTTTGTTCACCGCTCAATAGAGCTGTTGTCTTATTTGCTTGTTCAATTGACCCCGACACGATCGGAGCCTGTGTTCTAGAACTATCAACCAAAATGCATTGATTTTTAACGTCAGACTACGCGAGCGCCCTTTCATTCGATGATAAGCCACAAGGGACTTGTAACTTAGTGAGGTGGCCCTTGTGCTTGGAATCTGCAAAGTGCTGTACGCTAAATGTCGCGGTTATTCTTGGTACCCCTGTCGGTAGTGCTGCACGCTAAATGTCGCGCGGGTTTGCTGTTGACCAACCAAATATGTCTAGGCTTTACTGGAAGATACCCTTGTATTTTTACCATGATGAAACTAAAAGTGACCAATCGACGTTCTTTGAGTGCGGAATTATTGGTTGTAAGCCCGGCTCTAGTCAATTCGCTTTCCCCCAGTCAACTCGCTTTCTGTCCGATTTGCTCGATGACGAAAGTAAAGGTTTTACTCGCCGTTGATGGAACCAACATACAGTGGACAAGCGGCTACCTGGGTATTGATGATCTTACTTTACGGCGACTGCAAGTGAATATCAATTTCGCGATGAGATCCATCCAGCTCGAACTCTTGGCTCGAGATATTGGACCAAGCCTAGGGAGCACTACTCAGAGCACCTCGGAGTGGACAATAATCGAGTCACCTCGTATTGGATCTAAAAGAGTGAAGAAAGGAACTAGACGATATCTAAAAGAAAATACCGCAGATACTATTAAGGAATATAGGCTGTCTGATTACGCCATTACCCCAGGATCTGAAAAGGCGCAGCTTTTTATCACGATTCTCGGCGACATTATGGAGAACGCTGTCGTCTCAGACCATGAAAATTGGGGTTCAAAGACGAGCTGTACCTTGCTGTGGGTGGTATCTAATCATGCAGGACCGGCTTTTATGCACCTGATTCTCCATAGCACCACTCAAAGCGATCTGAAAGAGCTTAACACCCTTGAAGCTACGAACATTGTTTGCACATGGTACAAAATCGAGACAGGCTATTTTTCGCGGAACTTGCAAGCCAATTTAAAGACCTGTTGTCTAGTACGACACGGGAATCCCATATAAGATATGGATGCAATGAATTCAAGGATATCTGGAATTCTCCACATCTTTCGGGAACAACATCTTACTTTTTGTACTTCCTTATCGTTGAATTACTCAACAACGATAGAATATTTAATAGTAATTTCAAATTAATTTAACTAATTGATATATAAGTTTTCTTATGGTATCAAAATAAAATGATTTGAGTTTCGTTAGGCTTGAATTTCCCTATAATGTGTAGGAAATGTCCAATGTGTTGAGATCCAAGCATGAATGGACGGTTTATACCAGATATATCAGGCATGGGTCGTTTATCAGCGCAGATACTTCCATCGTGAGTTTAGATCATTACTAGATTTCACTCATTCATATAGCATCTCTCTCTCTCTCAATGAGAGAGAGACAAGACTCAAACAATCTCAGGCATCTTGACTTATATCGTTTCCCGGGTATCGTACATCTAATTTCAACAGAGTGTTCCCGGTGGAAATATATGTCTAGACAGTGGTATCTTGGCAAGAAGTGGATGTCAATGAACGAGGCGTTTCAATTCTGACTCTCTCAAGATGTACATCTACAGCTATTTGTAGTATTAAATATATATTAAGCGAGAGTGCGATGGATCTGCAAGAATTCCATAGTACAGCGCATCCAATAAGCACTATATGGCTGCTGCGCATGAATCTAGAGATGTTGAGGCCTCAGGCTTTTTGATCCAATATCTCAACACCTTCCATTATGGGTTTAGATCATTAAGAGACTTCACTCATTTATATAGAACCTCTCTCAATGAGAGAGAGATCAGACTTAAAAAATCTTAGCATCTGTATGTCGTTTCCCAGGTTATTGTACAGCTAGTTTTTAACAAATTGTTTTTTCGACACTATGAACACTAAATGAATTGGAGATAATTAGGATATTGTATCATAACTTCCCACCGCTCACGACCGGACAGGCATGATGAAACCTGCGGTCTGTTCCTGTTAGAAACGAGCCCAAAATATAAAAATATGTATAAATGGGCATGCTTTTACAGGAAATCTCAGAGTTTTTGGGTGGATTTTGGATTGTGTCGGTTCGATGTGTAGCTATGTAATGCAGTATACATACAACTAATGGAGCTCAAGAATGTCTCAGATTCACTAAGTCTAGTGATCCTGATGTGTTGTCTGTCTTCTCTTCCTTAGCTCTCTACTCCTATTTATATTGCTCTTCCATGGCTAGTGGGGGTTGAGATAGCGGTGCATAGATGGGTGTCAAGGCGGCATAGCTCAATAAGCTGTGCAGCGTTACAATGTGACTCCTCATAAACCGATAGATTGTCCAAAGTTCACCCACGCTAAGTATGTATGTATCCCCGATACCATATCCAATCGGAGTGACACATACACAGTAAGGTTGCATCGAGTCACATTTGACTCGCATATTTCGCTGGATGCAAGGAACACACTCTTAGAAGTGACCTCGTCCAGAAAAGGGCAAATTCCATGATCTCAAATCTGCATGCCACTTAGAACGGAATACGGTCAAGGTAGTCAGGCTACTTTCCGTAGCCTACAATTCTATATAGACCAGAAGGTCTTACCATAGAATGCGTTAACACGCCAGAATGAAGAAGAAAGGTAAAAAAGGTGCTTCGGCTTCAACCCCCACTCCCACACCAGCAATCGATTCTTGGGCTTGGGCTAATATTTCGACAACAGGTCGACCAGGTGTGTATACTAACAACGCCCCTCTCCTTTTATGCTCTATCCTATTTTGCCAACCACTTATCTTGCATTTCTAAGAATCGAGTTTGCTGCATTACAATGACACTCTATGGCCTACCAACAAGAAATTTCACCCGGCAAATGCGACAACAGAAGACAATAGGTGGTCCCACTCTCAAATAGTGAATCTGGATGAAAATCAGCTTTTCGCTTGGTGTATCCATTGTTCGGCACTACTACTGGTGGAATACCCGATAGAACATAACCTTTCCTGCCTTGACTTGGATCTTTCCGAAGAACCGGCATCTACCGTTGTGGCCACAGTATGCCGCTCCTGCAAACGTAATGGTGGCGGGGACTGTGGCTCATCTCGCCTCACCAGCGCATACTTTCAAACCAAACAGATATATACAAACATGTGCAAAATAGCATGTCGAAGTGTGAATATGCCGACAGATAAAGGCCAATACATACGTTTTGTGAGCATGGAGCACATCTCAGCTTCTCTATCGGATAAGTGTGTTATGCTCGGCCTTAATTTCGCTTCCGTCGGCCATGCGAGACGGGATGGTTACCGTCTGTATTTGTCTAGCTGCTTTATTTGAACCTTATCTTCAGTGTTGTGGCCACTGGAAGATGCAGGGGTGTTTGGTTCTTCTTTCGAAATTTCTGTATCTAAGCTAGATCATTAGCTTTCGAATGAAGAACATCTCTTAAATTTGAGATCTGAAGGAGAGTGAAAAACCAAGCAACACGTCGTAGAATCCATTTACAAAAGACCCATCAACATTCTCAGAATGGAATGACGGGTGTGTGGCGTAGTGGCGTAGTAGGAAATGATTGCGTTGCCTTGGAATGAAGGAGCAAGATTGCTGTTCCCTGAGCCAATCTCACGAGTATACATGAAATGCTATTCGCTTCAGGAGTAAGCCACTGGTTTGTAATAGACTAGATACTTAAGTACAGGTTGATGTCGTACCCCTTAGGTCCTAGTTCACTGTCCTCAATCAAAACCTGTGAAAAAGTTACACCATTGCACACCTCAAGCTCAGCGTAAACAATGGGTGCTATAGAAAGACCAGATTTGAGCGTTTCCAGTCTGGCTGGACAAAGTGAGTACTCACACAGAGACTTGGTTTTGAGATCTTTACTAAGATATTGTGGTAGCCTCAGGTATTGGCAATGTGCCCAGCACCACAGCCTTGGAAGCATTACAGACTTTGGAACAGCGCCAGGTTCTTGACACTGTGTCAGACTTGCGTAGGTGTGGACTCGACAACGTGCTGTCACTACCGCAACTAGTGGTCTGTGGCGATCAATCTGCAGGGAAAAGTTCGGTCTTGGAGGCATTGACAGAGATACCATTTCCTCGGAAAGATAATCTGTGCACAAGATTTCCCACCGAGATTATACTACGTCGTGGAGTGACAGAGAATTTGCGCATCAGAATTATCCCGGATCGTAAGCGCTCCGCGGAGGAGCGAGCGGCTCTCAATGATTTTCACGAGACCGTTGTTGACCTACGGGATCTGCCAGAAATCATGTCCAAAGCAACAAGCGCAATGGGGTTGGAGGACAGCCAGGCTTCCAATGGGCTACGGCGGGCGTTCGCTATGGATGTTCTGATCGTCGAGATCGAGGGTCCAACCAGGCCGCAGCTCACAGTGGTGGACCTCCCGGGGATAATCCAGGCAGAGACTAAAGATGCATCACAGGCGGATGTTGACATGACCGTGGAAATTACAAAGTCATACATTTCGTCGCCCCGGACCATTTGCTTAGCCGTTATATCGGCCGCCAACGACTATGCCAATCAACCGATCTTGAATTTAGTTCGTCAATACGATCCAAAGGGCGAGCGCACTTTGGGAATCATCACCAAACCCGATCGACTTCCAGCAGGCTCAGAGACCGAGTCAAGCTTCTTCGATCTAGCAAGCAATGAAGACATTGTATTCGATCTTGGCTGGCACATGCTTAAAAATAGGACTTTTGAAGAGGTAGCCTTTTCTATTTCCGAGCGAAACGTATCGGAGGAACTCTATTTTCGAGACTCGGTGTTTCGCCGACTTGGGCCCAATAGTGTGGGGATCCAGGCATTGGTAACCCGACTCAGCAGGTTGCTTTTTACCCATATTCACCAAGAGCTTCCTAGGTTACATACAGACCTAGAAGAGGCGTTGTCACAAGCAAGAAGTGAATTAGGCGCGATAGGAAGGGCACGAACTAATGCTGGAGAGTGCAGGAGTTATTTAACAGAACTCAGCCTTGGTTTTCATGAAGTCTGCAAAGCAGCGGTCAATGGGTATTATGAAGGAGAATATTTCAGGGTTGATAAAGAGCAGGTGCTTCAGAAAAACAGTTCAGACTCCATCCGGCGCTTGAGGGCAGTTGTCCAACTCCGAAACAAAATTTTTTCGGACGAAATCCGCTTGAACGGTCACAAGTTTCATGTTGTTAGTGCCGAGGTGGACAATCAGGCCGCTTCAATTCAGCCCGCACTGGACCAAGGAGTTGAGGAGGGTGATGGGCAATCCTGCTCTGAGGAGATTCCGGCTAAAGAACCTGGGCCTTTCAGCCACATTGAAGCTCCGGAGAAAGTTACACACGATGACGCTATACACTGGGTCAATGGTGCCGTCACTCGAGCACGTGGAAGGGAGCTGCCAGGCAATTTCAACCCTCTTGTGATCGCGGAGCTTTTTTGGGAGCAGTCGTCGAAATGGCATCACTTTGGTGTTGCTCACATTAGTCAAATATCTGAGCTCTGTCGCACCTTCCTTGAATCTTTGTTGAGAGACAAATGCCCCCATGACATTCTGCTTCGCCTGTGGCCAAAGATTCAAGACTGGGTAAGAGCAAGGCGCAGGCTTGCCACGGAAGAATTAGAGAAAATTCTTGAGGAGACGAGGTCTTATCCAATCAACTACAATCACTACTATACCGACACGATCAAGAAGCGCCAGGTTGAGAGACGGAAGGCGGAGCTAGAACGATGCTTGGAACATGCGACTCAGCACGTCGACATGCCAGGATGTAGTTCCGACCACACTTTCCCAAGTGTCAACGTGAGCTTAGCGATGAAGGTCTACTCGGAGCGAATGGACCCGGACATGGACACGCACAGTTCAGAGTTAGTACTGGATTGTCTTCGGGCTGTCTACAAGGTATGGACCCCTGATCTCAATGCCTTTAAGTCGGTTACTCACTCTCACACAGGTATCTGAGAAGGTTTTTGTTGCAAACATCACAGTCCAAGTCATCGAACGTCACATTGTTCGAGGACTCGAGCATATTTTTCCCCCGTCACGGTTTCGCAGTTATTGGATGCCGATATTCTCGGCATTGCCGCAGAGCCAGAGAGTACCAAAAAGGAGCGAGAAGTCCTGACCGAAAAGGTGCGAATGTTGACTGAAGGGCAACTCATACTCAGTGAGCTTATGTCGAGTTTATCGTGTTAAGAACCCACATATAAATTGCATGATTATGATTGAATTCCAAGGGTCAAGAACTGGTAGCTTATGCTGCTGCTTTGTGGTTCTTTTCTTGTTTTCTGCGCCGATACTAGGATCTTGCAGCGTTACTTTCGACGAGACCGCATGGTGACGGAATGGTACGCAGATAAATGACTTGTGATCCGTTCACTTTGATGCTCCTCCTCTTCTTACGATCGAGAGTCGAGCTTTTCCTCTCCTGGCAGCCCATGATAAAGCTGCCTTGCAGTGAGACTCGCTCATATGATAGATAAGTGACTCATGTAAGAGCTAGCATGGACAATATTCCGGTAGGATGATAGTATGGCGGCAGATGGTGAGCTCGCAGTGGAGGCTTTTCCCGCGATAGCAGGTGATACTTGCAGTGTTCGCGCTACTGTTCTTTTGCATCACCCTTAATTACATTGTTATTGGTAGCAAAGGTTAATTTTCACAGGTTCTCAAATTCGAAGTAGAAGCTTTGTCGCGGCGGACCTTTTCATGGATGTCTTTACTTGACTGGTGACTGGGCAAGTAAAAATTAAGCTTTCAGTACATCGGTATGGGTATTCACGAGCCAACATCTTTCTGGCAGGTTGGAATCAGGCAGCTTGTATTGATAGGCTTTTTGTTTGACAAGTACATCATCTATTAATTCCGTTAGCACTGCATTTGCATGTCTCTCATGAACAAAATCGCCGACATAACTGCTGCTACGTGATCGATCTTGGGTATGGTAAGAGCAAGCTCACACGTACAAGAGTGGAACACTCAGCACCATTTGATAGTGAGTATCGCGGCATACGGGTCCTTGCTTTGAAGTAGTATCTACATACTTAGTGAGTACGTTATAAGAAATGCAATTGATCATCCATGAAGTTTTCCAATCTGATGGGACTTATGCTACTGCCTGGGGGTTTTCAACACTATTCGTTGAGATGTTGTTATACTTCCTCTTCAAATACCTGAGGCATTCAAAATAGTGTTTTTCAATCACAATTGGAGCTATTTCCGAGCCTGAGGCGGCCCAAAGCGTCCCAATGCATTGCAATAAGAAATTATCAGAAGAACTTCTTGAGCCTAGTGCGCGCTTACGAATGACGTCGATCCATATATTCTACGACCCGCAATTTTGTGCTTTTTGATCACACTCTTCAAGATGCTCCATGTTCAGCTGACCCTTATACAAGGAAGTGATAGGGTGATCGGGTGAAAGGGGTCGAAAGGAAGAGAATCTAGACCGCTAAATGCTGACATAACCGGCAACAGTAGAATATCGAAGTGAGTAGCCGGCCATAAAAGTAATGGGACAATGTCCGAGTGCTAGCTATAGAAGGTCTAAGCCTTAATAGCCTGATACTGAAGAGTCATAGGCCACTTGACACGTGTCACGGAATCAAAAACTGCCTCCATTCAACATAGAGCAACAACCACCCACGAGGATTAGCACAAAGCTAAGGCTCAGTAAAGCTGTAGAGAGATTTTGGCGGCTCCAATGTCCACTGCCAGTTGGGCCTTTCATGCTCAGTCAATGTTGACGTGGCTTTTGAACTCCAAAAATAGTGGAAAAAGCTGTGATAATGCCGCAGGCTTCTGCAGACAGGCACGGGCTAGTGGGGGCTTTGACAAGTAGACAAGAAATATTAAAACACAGAAAGTATCTCATGGCGTGGCCACCCTTGGCAAGTGCCTCGATTCAGTCGTGTGCCGATCCTGATTATTGGCAAATTGTTTCGACATGGATGAGGAGAGTTTTCGATGTCTCAATCAGATGGAGCAAAGCTGCTTTTTCCGCGGCTGCTTACTTACCAATTGATGCATGACTTCGAGACACGGCTCTATAAGGGTTCAACATTTGACCCGAATCAGCTTCGAGACGATAACTGGGGAACTGTGGCCAAAAGTTTATTGAATGGCCCACTTTACAGCTCTCATTTTAAGATATACGGTTTATGAGATATTCAGGATATTATCGGTGCTGTCGTGTTGAATGGCACCTGCTAGCCGCTACCTAGATAGCTCTGGCTTGCTCTTAGTCCTGCATTGGAAATGACTGGACCTGGAGCCAACTTGTTCTGTGAAAGCCAAAAGAGATTGAGTGGTATCTCCGTGGGACACCCGAACTAGGCATTGATTCGCGGGTTTGTGTGATAAATATCATTGCGCACTGGAAAAAATGTAATAAAAAAGCTCGAAAAATTGCCTCGAGCGCCATTTATGCTAGCAGAGGTGTCGGCTCACTATTGGGACAGCGCTTGATAAGGCGTCCAAGGGAAAGGTTGCTCTAGACTATCTTGATGGTGGAAGAGCGGTGTGATAAGTCTAGGATTTGAAACTAAAGCTTTGTAGTGAATGAGCTTCTAACATAACTCTGACACCCCAATCCTACATCTCCTATTATTGCCTACTCCTCGAAAACTTTGATCAAGCCCTGACTCTTACAATGTCAACCGCTGCCAGCTGTCCTATAGTTGCATTGCCTCCTGACAAGGACCTACGATCTCCCAAATTCCAGCCGAACACGGTCTATTCAATTCCTTTCACCAATCCCGATCACCAACTTAACGAGATTTGTTCGAAGTTGAAAAAACAAGGGTTCGAAATCGAAGGCTCATCCATTGAAGCATACTTGACAAATGCCACCGGAAAGATTCATGTTCAACGACGGGCTGGTCCAGATAATATGTCACGGCCTTATGTGATCGAGGCCGCCGGAGGTGCAACGGAACAATGTGACAAAACACTCCACCTGGCTGCCCTTCGTGAGCTGTTGGAGGAGGCCGGCATTTTGATTCTAGGCGCCACCCCCCTCGAGAAAGGCTATGTCCACTTCTGGGAACACACAGAAAGACATACCCGTAAGAAAAAGTGGCTGATCAAGGTTGCCTTCGTCTACTTCATTTCCAACGATGATGACTGGCTGTTCACCAGTCGTGTCTGGGACAGCGAGTCTAAATCGCCAATGGGGAAATTGCCAATTCTCTTGGATGAAAAAGAGGTCAGCGATGCCTTCTCCATTTCCCAACTCCAAATGGAGGAGATGATCATTTGGGATCCCGAACAGAGAAAGACTACAAAAGATCGCCAGTCTCTCGTTACTCAACGTGAAACATACGCTATACTGGAGGATATCTTCGGATAACAGATTTTGAAGCCCCCTTCAACTGGTACCAATCGAATCGCTTATTTCGAAGAAATATCAAAATCAAGCACGGTTGTATTGAAGCTGGGTGGAGAGGTTATACCTTTGCAAACACTTGAGGAACACCTGCCAGGCCTGGTAGAAAACGTCAGCAAAATGGACTGCGTAAGTGTCTAGAAGAGAAGGTGGCAAGAGATTCGCTGACTGTAACGCAGTCCTCAAGTCTTCCTAAAGCTTATTCTATCTATGGAGAGTCGAAACAGTGATAAGTTGACGCTGTGAGAGAAATCTCGTTGATCACGGAAGATCAAGCAACCCAGCGGGAAAGTAGTTGAGGGAGAAAAATGATGTTTTTAACCCGAGGATGACGCTGGAAAGGTGATATGCGAAGCGATTCTCCTACATTTAAGGGGCAGACAATACTCAGTTTCATCGTCTTTAGAGTTATTGACAATAAATGGCGGGATTGTGGTTTTAACATTTCAAGCTCAATCACTATTCAAGGGCCGCAGTCCTAAATCCAGATTGAGATATAGGGCCTACAACATCATTGCAACTTTAATGGCTCGCAAAATCCAGCAGCCAGTCGAGCTTTGAAAGACTAATTTAAAAAGCAAAAAATACCTGGACGCATGAGTGATTACACCCATTCAAGGTGTTTGGGTCTCTTGGTCTTCCACAACGTAGATGACTTGATTTATGTAACATGTAAGAAATCAACACGGCTATTTGGGTCTACTGTTGTGGTTAATCACTTGATACAAACGTAGGTAGATAAGCCTACCAATTTCCTTGTTCTCATATTGCTCCTCACCCTGCCTCACGGATGTTATCCGTTTTAGTATGGCTAATTCCGTCTCATCTAAGCTTTTGGCTCGCTGAATCGCATCATGAAAATGTGCGAGGTTCTTTCGCAAGCCTGTAACAAGCCAAGATACCTCGGTGCTCTCTAAACAGCCTGGTTAGACTAAGAAGAAATCGCGATGATAGGAGACCATACCTAATTCTTGAGATTTAATAGATTGTTTCATTTCACCGCCAGGTCTTCTCCATGTGAGCCTTGCGTTCCTCGAGGTTTCCGCTCGCCTAGTGGTAGGTAGAACTATTTCACTGTCTGTTTGTTTTTCTTTCGGGATCCATTATTATTGCATATAATAGCAAAAACGATAGACTCACCTTGTCTAAGAATATTCAGTTGAAACTTAGGTAGCTCTAGCTGCCACAAAATTTCTTGTCGAGCGGGCCTCTTCAACTGCATAAAACACGAAAAATAATATGTAGTCAATTCAAAAGTGTGGCTATATCGAAGATAATTGGATTTCGATTCGAATAGAGGAGAGTCCATCATGAGTAATATAATATATTGGTCTAATTCTATTAAAGATTGGAATCTTAGGGAAATAGGTTGTGGTTATATATGAATGCAAGGACTAAGCAACTTTTTGTAATAGGCAATAAAAATCTTTGATTGAACGACGGAGGTTACCCGATGGCGTTCTTGAGCTACAATCCCAAACATTATCGCGGTAAAACTCAATGAGCCAACTGAGAACCCCCGTAGGGGCGGAACGGTATTGATTCATCGTCCCCCATCGTCCCCCATCGTCCCCCATCGTCCCCCATCGTCCCCCATCGTCCCCCATCGTCCCCCATCGTCCCCCATCGTCCCCCATCGTCCCCCATCGTCCCCCATCGTCCCCCATCGTCCCCCATCGTCCCCCATCGTCCCCCATCGTCCCCCATCGTCCCCCATCGTCCCCCATCGTCCCCCATTGTTTCCCCTCGTCCCCGCTTGCTCTATAAGAATGAAGAATATCATATTCATTATTATCGTTTCTATCACTCGCCAGAAGTCAAAGGCTCTTTAACTCATAGCGTGCATGACCCTAGCGGATCCATGTTGAAAGCTTTCTTGGTAATCAGAGATGAAAAGTCAGTTGATATGACTCTGCGCAAGATTTGAAATTCCTGACAAAAATGCAGTCACGAAAGCATCTGGGTTCCTAAAACGCTATTTTTTAGGATTGAAAGGCAAAAAGGTCCGTCTTAATATTTTCACAGAGCTGGGCCAACTAATGTGGCTCTAGTTCACCGTGCTCGATATTGTGTATGGTATAGACATAGAGATACATGATGCGGGTATCACGGATAGTATACCCTGGAGGTGCTTTGTACAGTATGGCTACGAAGCCATTCGTGCACTACGTGATGCCGGTTGGTCAGACAGCAAAATCGATTCCCTCGAACGCAAGATTTCTGTCAATATTTGTCGAAAGTATGGCAACACAAAGGAAAATTGTCAAAGGACAAAGGTTGAGCAATTTGAAGAAAAAAAGCCGCTTTTGGAAATGGAGACTGCTACCGTGAGGGATGTATTTCTCTCGATAAAAGTCATCCTGTCTGAAAGAGGGGAAACGATCGTTCTCTCTTGGGAGCAGTTCAAAGACATAAAAGATAGCGGAGCCGCCCCTGCCACTCACAAAGCTGGTTGGCTAGTCCGTGAGTTGGATCAGCTCGGCAGAGACTTCGCAAAGAAGCGTCCGAGTTTGCGGATCGAGGCAAACGAGCTCTCCCTTTACGAGAAATGCAGCGTCTTTGTAGAAGACAAAACTAGAAACTACGCCATAATTACTGACGGCAAGACTGAAGGGGCACACTGGGTTTTTCAACCATGGAAACGACTTTCGCGGATGTAAAAGTGAAAGGGCTGCGTCTCTCTGGGAGATACCGAATGTTAATTATCTTCGGTGTTAGAAGGGAATCCCCTGCACTGCGATTTCTTTACCTCAAACTGCTGGAGCTTATCGCTCTACTATTTGATTAAGGAAATGCTAAATGAACACACTGTTGTTTCTGAATGGAAACTGTATTTTTTTCACGCTACATTTGATACGCTCTGCTCCACCAGCCGTCTTTTCAATGTATTATTCGGTGGAAATGCATCATTAGATAGATTATGGCTCTCGTTTACTTCTGTTTAGTATACTATCTCCTAGTGAAACCAAGGCAATCTTAGTCTTTCTCACCGGTATATTAATGAGACGATTCTGAGGTAACTCCATAGACTATGTAACTTCCTAAACATTCTAAACCAAGTCCTCAGTGAGAGATGCAGTTTGAATACTCCGCAGACATCTCAATGCTAGGAACATGCTCACTTGCTGTATTGAAGTAGCTAGCCAATCTTCAATAAAAAGAGATTCATGGCTAGCGTTTCACATATAAGATGTAGGTTTCGAACGGTACGTTAGGTTCGGTTCGGCGTTCACGAGACCTCCGCTGCTCCTGGCATCAGCACAGCCAGAAAGACGTGCAGTCTTACGGATCAATATACCAATATTTAGACCGGGGCATGAGCCGGCCCAATTGGCCTCCAAAATTGTACAATTAAGATGCAAGATATCCAAACTTACTAACGTAATATCTATACTTCAATTGCTGCCGCTTAACTATAACAAATTACAGGATATGTTACAGATTGCTCAATGTCCTTTTTCACAGAAATATATATTCATGCGATAATAGGTCTTTTGTACATTTTGCTGATTTTTTAGAAGTCCTTTGAAATCTTGATTTTTTTCTATCTATTTGCTCATAGTAAATAATAGAGAATAGTCTAAGCTAATAGAAAGCTCCTATTGTACAGATCACATTCGCACTCCTAAGCCGAAAATCAATAAAATATTTTTAGTAGAAGCCTTTGCTATTTATCTCATCATTCTCTCACTTTAAATCACTTCACTTCACTTGTTAAACTACTTATGTCTTAATTATTTGATATCATTTAGTATCCCTCATGGAGAGTGGAGAGTTCAATGATTCGTCTTATCTTTTATCCGATAGTCTCGTGCCCTAGCACTAGGCAAGTCAAATAACTTAGCCTCACCTCTTTCTATCCAACTCTCCCTTAAACGCACAAAGTTCCAACAAACACCTACGTTTTATTCGTAGATATCAATAAAGAAAAATTTGTGGACTGGTGGATACAAACACAAAGCAAGCAGCCTTCGGATATCCAAAAATGTGGGATCGAAAGGGATACCGTGCAGATATCTGGAGCAACTTCGATCAGGTTGCGCATTATATTTCTGGGCAACTAAAGGTGATGTTCAAGCACTGTAGGGAGATTTTGAATCATCCGGACTCTATCATTCCTTCTACATCTGGGAAACAAGGAACAATTGCTCTTCGGCGGCATCTTACACGAGCAACCTGTAAGAGAAGGGAAAACGATCAAGTCTTCAACGCCTTCTGCAGCATCAGATAACTAGTTATTGAGAAGAAGCTAATTCCTTATTTTAACTAGGCAAATACCGCTCCAGAACTTTTTAATGAGGCTCGTGGGGAACACCAAATAGTCGCCTCAATCACAAACCTACGACTTCCTTTTGCGACTATCGAGCATCCTGAATTCCTAATTCTTATACAGATAGCTCAACAAGCACCTTCAGCCCTAATTCTTTTATCTCGAAGAAACATGCAACGCCGAATTCTGTCAAAAGCTCAAGACCTGCAGAAAGAGATACTTCAGAAGCTTCCACCAAAGGTAAAGCTCTCATTAAGTCTAGATTGCTGGACTTCCCCATTTCAATAGGCTTTTATGGCAGTCTCTGGATATTTTATTAACACTGAGTGGGAGTATCGAGAGGTTTTAATTGGCTTTGGACCTCTCCCACATACATACCAGGGCTTCATTAAGCACAGTGGTACTAGAGTTACTCGAGAAGGGCGGGATTAAAGAGCGAGTATTAGCGGGTACGACCGATAATGCGTCGAATAACTCGACTCTTATCTCAACCCTCAAGGATTCTATCCTTTCTCCTGGTCTAGGCTCTAATGTTATTATTATCCGAATTCCACACCTCGCTCCTGTGATCCAGCTTAGCATTTAGCAGCTCCTTGATCAGATGAAGGCAAATACCATAAATGAGAATATCGACTTCGTTTGGTCTGAAAAACGCGCAAGAATAGCTGGCCAAACAATGAGTGAATATAGTATGACAAATACGCTAAAAAATGTTTGATTCAATGCTTATTCGCCCTATTTATCGGACTTCTACTAATGATCTCTAATCTAGATCCAAAACCTCGCTATCTTCATTAATGCAAGTCCTATACGTCGCGATTGCTTCCAAAACCTTCAGAAAAAAGCGCCTCGCTTAGTATCAATCCAAGACGTTACGACACACTGGGATTCAGCAATCTTAATGCTCCGCCGAGCTAGGAAACTACATATTTTCTTTGAAAAAAAGAGGATTAGGAGAGGAAAAACAGATCCCTGAGGCTCTAAGATCAGCTGAAAGCAAGCTGAAGGAGTATTATACGATGAATGACTTCCAAGATCTCGGCGATATATATGCAATTGGGACTCTTTTAGCACCGCAGTATAAGCTTGAGTTTTGTTCAAGGCCCTGATTGGCAAGATGAAGAAAAGGACCATGCCGCTCAATGGAAGAAAGGTCTCGAGGATCGGATGAAGGAGTATCAGGAGAAGCTCTACGAATCTATTTCACAAATCGAAGGTCTACAACACGCAAAGCCTGTGACGCATGGGCACATGGATGCTGGCTGAGGCCTGAAGAAGCAGGCAGATCGTGGGGACGTAGATGATTGGGTAGAGGGGGTAGATAGCAAGACCCAGTCCTCTTTCTCTCTACTATTTCTCCTCAGCTTAGTGTCTTTGACGAATGGACTTCTTTTGAAACTGCCAACTCATAAAGCCCACGAATGAGGTTGATCTACTACTCGCTGGAAAGCCTCCTGCAATAGTTTCTGAGCTTGCTAAGTATCTAAACGGTGGTAAGTGATTTATTCCAGATTTCAAATGACTATTGATACGTCCCTGATTTTCTAATCATTATATCTAATCACTTTTCTACATAGACATAGTGGCAATGCCACCTCGAGAATTAGAGAGGGATCATCAACATACGTTCCCGGTACTCAAAAGGATCGCTTGTAATATCCTTTCCGTTCTAGCTGGAGGCGCAGGCGTTGAGCGTTTGTTTAACTCGGCACGTGATATTTGCCATTTTCGCCGAGGCTCATTAAATTCAATTACTATCATGGATTTAATGCTTCTTTTGTGTGGAACTCGATTCAATTGAGAATATGAGCTTGCTTTCAACCGGAAATACGCCATTGAAGATGAGATAGAACTTCAAGAAGAAGAGGTAAATGAGCGTACGCGGGATGAGATGATAGAAATAAGCGATGATGACCAAGGCCCATCGCAGCAGAGTTTTAAGAGGCAAAGGAGTGATTTATCCGATAATGACACTGAGCAAGAGCTTGATGATAAGCCCAAATTACCTGAGCAAAGTACTCAGCGCGCTTCAGGTAGAGTTCGAAAGGGCTCAAGACTATGAGACGAATATGAAGCCTAGTCAATATATCGATCTCAAAATACTCCATTTCAACTTAATATCCTTTAGTTTGATTTAATCTCCGAGGACAACCCTCATAGTTCTTGTGACGAAGGCGATACAGCGTCGTTTAACGTGCATAAATTATGAAAGATAAAACGTGGACTTATGCACGCTAGTTTAGGAATCGCTACATGCGTCCAGGTAACGTGATTCACTACCGAGCTGCGCACCCCACCTAAAAACGCGTCAATTGATTGGACCTCTCTTCTTCAATCAACCACCATGCCACCAATTCGTACTCAATCCTCTCAAAAAAGTACTGAGCAAGAGGGTATGATTTTGTTAGCTATTCAGGCTATCAGCAAATTGCCTCTATACGCCAAGCAGCGCTCGTTTATAGCGTCCCGAAGTCTACTCTCTACGCGCGTCTCCATAGAACCACAAATTGCGCTAAAACTCGCGCAAATGGCTTGATATTGACTGCAATTGAAGAGGATTCGCTCCAAAAATGGATTGTCTCTATGGATTCTCATGGAGCAGCCCCTCGCCCTCTACTGTACGAGAAATGGCAGATTTACTTCTTAAAACGCGTGATCTACCTATCCTCTTTCAGTCGGTCAAAATTGGGTTACAAAATTCGTTAAACGGCATCCTCTCCTTACATCCCGATTTTCGAGACTTTACGATTATCAGCGAGCTAAATACGAAGACCCGAAGATAATGTCTGAATGGTTTTCGCTCGTTTAAAAAACGGGTTTAACGTACGGCATTGATCCGGACGATATCTATAACTTCGACGAGACCGGTTTCGCAATGGGCGTGATTTCAACTACGAAGGTTATTACGAGATGTGAATACTATGGTCGGCGAGTACTTTAACAGCCTAGAAATCGTGCGTGGGTTACTACAATTGAGTGTATAAGTTTAACGGGGTGGGCACTTCCTCCGTGCGTGATTTTCAAAGGCAAAGTCTTTATTGAATCTTGGTTCGACGGCCTTCCGAATGACTGGAGATTTGAGGTTAGTCCAGATAGATAGACGTCCGATAAAATCGGACTTCGATGGCTCAAAAAGCTCTTTATTCCGTCTACTTCTTCGCGTACGAAGGGGATGTATAGACTATTAATACTTGACGGCCACGGGAGTTGTTCAACCCCGGAGTTCGATCAAATTTGCGATCAAAACAATATTATCGCAATTTGTATGCCTTCTTACTCGTCTCACTTTTAACAGCCTCTCGATATTGGCTGTTTTGCGGTATTAAAGCGCGCGTACGGCCGGCTTATTGGGTCAAAAATGCGGGTTGGAAAAAATCATATTGACAAACTTGACTTCCTCGAAGCCAGTCCGACTGCACGAATTGAGGCATTTAAATTAGAGACTATAATGAATAGCTTTGCGGCCGCTGGTTTAGTGCCTTATAACCCTGATCGAGTACTCTCGAAGCCTGATATTGGCGTCGTATGCCGACACCTTCCTCAAGCCGGGGTAGCGACTGGGAGCTCAGAACGCCCTCGAATTATGTCGAATTATAAGATCAAGTTTCTTCGATAAAAGCCTTGGTAAAACAGCGCTCAAAAAGCCCTCCGAGCCCGCTGCCAAATCACAATGCAATCAGTGGCTATTCTCGAGAAAGAAACAAGCGATTTGCGCGCTGAAAACGAGAAAAAGAAGCGAAAAAAAGGCTAGATCTACAAGGCAAATACCTTCAGAGGAAGGCCTTCTAGGTCAAGAAGCCTCTAGATTAATGCTACAGCTAGAGCAAGTAGGTTTAGCACCGATACCTAGCGAGGTATGCGATATTCCGGCACCTTCTCAGCCACGTACGAGGGCCCTACCGAGGTGCTCTGGATGTGGAATTCAAGGTCATAAGAGAAATGCTTGTCCTAATAGGCCTCGAGTTTAGCTTATTGAATTTAATCGCGTTTTGGTTGAGATAAGTGCATTTGAAATTGATAGATTAGGATTCCTGGGCCGCTCGCTTGGAAATTACGTGAAAGCTCAGCGAGGGTTGACAAATCTTTTGGAAAAGGGGGGCATTAGTCACCCTTGCTGAGCTTTTCACAACCCTCGATGAGCTTGGTGCCCAGCTTTTGGCGAGCTTGTTGGCGCAAAGGCGCCATTTAGGTCTTGAGTGTAGTTTGTACAGCGACGATACAGTAGTCGCTGAAAAATTGGAGATTGCCGAATTAGATGAAAACAATTTCCGACTGCAAAAGCTGATGATTGCCTTAAATTTGACGGGCGGCTTTGATAACTCGGGAAGAGGTGCAGGACCGTGCTCGAACAGACTAAAGAATCGATCGCGCGCCACCCCGTCGGTCGTCCCCCATCGTCTCCCATCGTCTCCCATCGTCCCCCATCGTCTCCCATCGTCTCCCATCGTCCCCCATCGTCTCCCATCGTCTCCCATCGTCCCCCATCGTCTCCCATCGTCTCCCATCGTCCCCCATCGTCTCCCATCGTCTCCCATCGTCCCCCATCGTCTCCCATCGTCTCCCATCGTCCCCCATCGTCTCCCATCGTCTCCCATCGTCTCCCATCGTCCCCCATCGTCTCCCATCGTCTCCCATCGTCTCCCATCGTCCCCCATTGTCCCCCATCGTCTCCTATCAACCCGTACAATAAGCCAACAGAAAAATGTCTCTACCTCAAACAGCGATTGCTATGGCCAAAGTTGAAAAGTGGGCTTTACAACTGAAGAATAATCGAAAGCTTAGCCCAAATCACAAGAAGAGACTGTTGGCTGATATAGAGCTCTTGAAAGGGACGAGATCTGGGGCATCCAAGTCAATGAGAGAGAAACTGAAGATATACAAGGACTTCTTGATCAAATGCGTCAAGGAACCTGGCCGTGAAATTATGGTGCTTTGTTCGCTGGCACTCGGCGTCAGCGGCATATGCAATCTAAGCCAAACGTACCACCAGCCAGATCTATTGGAATACTTGATCAAGATGGACTTGAAGAACGATAATCTCTCTGCCATGGTTCAAGAGTACGATGTTCCGACCAAAGACTTCTTTGAAGACCGCCCTCAGGACGCTGAATACCGGCGTCAATGTGGTCCGAGCTCCCATATGACGAAATACCTGCAACAGCTATTAGAACAAGTGAACATAAATGTCGAATTGGTCTTCCCTTTCGATCCGGAATGCGACGCCCATATGACCTTGAAATTGGATATAAGTCAAAATGCAGCTTGGGGGACCTTACCTTACTTCTTTCAATCCGACTCTGAGCCCTCGATCGTCAACTGTACTTCCCCCGAGAATACCCCCACTTGGTCTCCTGCTGATACATCGATACCGATAGTAGGACCATAGTACACCTTGAAACTCTTCTCGTCTCCTTTTTTTATGATTCGCACTTGTCCCTTGTCGGAGATAGATATTTTGCCTGGATTATTCATGTCATGTTGATAACCGGGCGCAAGTATTGTAGGGTTTGCTGCAGTTGCGATCTGAAATCAAAGCTTAATACGGAGAATAAAGGCGAAATAACAGGATTGCAAACATTTTCCGGCATTTTGTACTTAGCTGTAAGGTAAGAGAAGAGTTCACAAAATATAGAATAAGTTTCTGCCAGCCTTCACATTTTCATTCACGGCAGACACGCACGTGGTCGTTGGTGCCCAAGTGGGGGGATTTTCGAGATACTGATCACGTGCATGAATACACGCTCCGTTCGATATGAATGATCGTGACAAGGATGAAAACGATTAAGGGCAGCAAAGTAATTGATGAAATTCCATATCCGTATGCACGAGAGAAAGAATTAAGAACGCAAAGGAGCAGAAAGACCCTCGGGTCTCTCACGTGACACTGGATCGTCAAAAAATTTGCAGTTTCGCCCCATATGGTTATCGCACAGAAACTTCACGCTAATGCGCCAAGATAAGTTGCAACTTACCTGGAATCTCGTATATAGTATGAAATATCTCATGGAAGAGACTAATACGCATTGAGTTGTGGGATTCTGGGATAAAGGATGCAACTCTTTTCTTGCCAAAAACCTTTACTTGAAATATCAAGCCAATCAGAGGTCCTACGACCTCGTGAATTAGTCCATCGTAATCGTAACTTCAAGCGCTACGGCCTGATACCCGTTTCATAGGGGTTATGGAAGCGATGGTTGGGACAGGTGCGAACGCACAAATTTGGCCCCCGGGCAGGAGAGGAACAAACACCAAAAAGCACGGCCCTGGCAAGTCCACGACGCTTCAAGAAATCCTGGTCAAGAGCGCATCGGCGCCAAGTGCAGCAGGTCGTTGAAAATACAAGATCCCCACACGCCCGGGACTCTTGTGGAAATAGTAGAGCAAAAGGCCGGGGCATTTTGGACTGCCTTCTTCCCAAAACCACCGCCAGCCGATCTATCCGACAGACTCATTCCGGTACCCACAGCAGACCGACTTTCCAGCAGTCATCGCTCAAGAGATACAGGAGGCGGTGCACGGAGCGAAAGCAGGGAAAACACCTGGAGAAGACGGCATACTGAACTCTCTCTGGCATAAGCTCATCGAGATACCGGTGCTTCTGGAAACGGTGGTTCAGTTATTCAATGCATGCATAAACACAGGCTACAACCCGTCACATTTTCAGCGCTCGATCACGGTGGTGCTTCGGAAGCAAGGCAAAAGTGACTACCAGCTCGCAATATCCTACAGACCTGTCGTGTGGTTGAACACGCTCGGGAAGTCCTGGAGGCAGTTGCCGCGCGACGGATCAGCTACGCAGCAGAAATCCACGGTTTACTCCCACAAACGCATCTAGGCGGGCGAAAGGGCGTATCCACCGACCATGCGATCCACATTATCATTGATGGAAGCAAGACCGCATGGGGAGAGGGCTTTTTTGTGGTATCTCTGCTGATGTTGGACGTGTCCGGAGCGTACGACAATGTCGCCCATGAACGTCTACTACACAACCTCAAGAAACGACGCATGGGACACTTCGTTCCCTGGGTGAGAGCCTTATTGACCGATCGAAGCACAAGGATTCGCATGCCCGAAGGCATGTCCGATCGAATAAATACACCTACGGGCATCCCTCAAGGGTCGCCGATCTCACCGATTCTCTATCTCATCTACAACGCAGACCTCGTTGAGAACTGCGGTACCGGTGTGACTAGCAGCAGGTGGCTCGACGATGTTTGCTTCCTAAACCCAGGAGACGGTGAACGCGAAACCGTCAAGAAACTCAGAGCGGTATGTCGCAAAGCCGACCAATGGGCCGAGAAACATGCGTCAGTTTTTGATCAGAAGAAATATGCACTGGTGCATTTTATGAACACCAGAGAAGTCGACCCACGATGCACGTCGCTTCCTCTGCGAGGTCACACGGTGACAGCGACGAGGACAGCTGAGCGATACCTCGGCTACTGGCTGGATCCAGGCCTGGAATTCCACCATCACTGCGAGAAAGCGCTGACTGAGGCCGGCGTCTCTCCCCACGCACTACGCAGCCTGGCAGGTTCAACGAGGGGAGCCTCACTCTATGCAACGCGAAAGATCTACCAAGCAGTGATCATCCCGCAGATGCTCTTTGGGGTTTGCGTGTGGTATCAACCTATGCTCATCAGTAAATACAAGGCACGCCAAATCAGCTTGTCATTCACGGCAGTACAAAAACAAGCAGCAAGCCTCATCAGCGGAGCTTTCAGAACCACGGCAGAAGAGGCACTGAACGTAGAACTTCACCTACCGCCTATCTCTGTTCACATGAACCGATTGGTAAAGGAAACGGCTCTGCGACTACGGAGAGGACCGCTTTTTGCGGTCCCGCCCACGATGTTACGAGCCTGGACACCATATGAGAGAGACTGGGCTGGATAGACATCTATGGAGGCGCAGGCCTGGAAGACGGACGGATACCTGACGACTCCCCTGGGAACTTTGAAGAGGAACTGGGAGAGTCGAAAGGGATTCGTTCTGGCACCATGGCAAGCCCCACCAGACGTATCGAGGACAGAGAAATTGCGGTCAACCATCATGACCGGATCTTGAAGAAAGACCCAAGAGAAAGACCACTGATTCTGTGAACTGATGAGAGCGGAATTGATGGAAGGATCGGAGCGGCAGCAGTCGTCGACCTAGAGGACCAACATGCCCATAATCAAATGGGAGGCGACATTCCGTCCACCGTATATGCAGCAAAACTTCGAGCCATCGAGATGGCACTTGAGATGGTTCTGGGCAGCAGCACAGATCCATAGGCTAAGCAGGCGCAGAATGGGTTGATCATCTTCGTAGACAGTCAAGCAGCGCTGAAGGCGCTTAGGCGACCATAGATGCCATCGGGGCAGATCTATCTAGCAGGATGCCTCGACCTGAACCAGCAGCTTGTGGGAGGAGGTGTCCGAATAGAACTCAGATGGATTTTTGCGCACCGAGATTGCGGGTCAACACGCAAAAGAAGCAGCGCAAGAACCATGCGGCCCACAGAAACCTCTCAATCGAGATATAGCCGTGTCACGAAAACCCCCCACCCTCTCGGGTAGGGGGTGTTCCACGGCCTATTGCAATTAACATCCAAAAGCAAATTCTTCATTTCTTTAACTTCTAGCTCATTCTTTAAGCCCAAAATCATAGAAATAGAGCCCGTCAATAAGCCTACAAGAATATTCATCCTCAGGTTCATCATCATCCTCAATTTCAGCCATTTCCTCCAATCCATTATTGGCTAAATCTGCGGCCAATTTCTCTGCGTCCTTCCGCCACGTACGGAGCTTCGACTCCTTTTCTTTTTCATTCCTACGCTGATCAATGGCAACAAATCAGTGTGATCATTGCACGGGAGTTCTAGCGGGCGCTAAGCTCTTTCTGCTCTAGCTCGCCCCTTTTTTCTACTAGGGTTTGATGGTCCCAGCGGGAAAACCTGGAAAATAGTTTAAGGGTCCACTTTTTCTTCCCTATAGTTAACTTCAAAGCCCTAATCCGAGTCATGTCCCGCCCCTATGGGATAGGGCAGCCTAACAACGGGAGCGACAATAGGCCTCGGTAATCCGTGATAAGGCTCTAAGTTCTTATCAGAAAGTGGATCATCCTAGAAGTATATATTCGAATATACAGTGCCCTGAAACGAAGGAACGGAGTGGAAGGGGTTACCAACCCCACGGCTTCGCAACGCCGACGTTGACGCTGCCAAAAACGCAGCGACAGACACACACCCTACCCTCCCGCCAAGCCTCTCTCTCATTGGTCATGGTTGGATCCCAGGTCACGTTTCTTCCTTCTCGTGTTCGCTTGCCTCTTTTGTCTCTCTGCTTTCTGATCATCGTGCTTTGCATGCTTTGCCAGGATCATCCCTGTATCTTATGCCGTATACCCTTTCAGTCCGCTATCACAATAATATGCCTATGCCAGTGCTGCTTCCTCGACATTCAGACTGTCTGCTGCTCTCTTCTTGCTATTCGCCTGTCATTCCGCCTCGCCTACGTAGCCCTAATCTACACCAATACTTTCGCGTGCCTCCAGCACTTTCTTTTACTTCTATGCTTTTATTCTACAACTTTGGGCCTTCCACGTTCACTGCTGCCTTTCAAGAATTTCCGTATCCAAATATGTTACTCGTTTTACTATCTGTGCTCTGTAAATATTACCGTCTCCATTGTATACCGCCACGTCTTTGTTATTCTTCATTCTCATATGCCCTGATGCCCCGCCTGCCATACACGGCAAGGTTACCTAACCCCCCTATACAATTCTCTCCTTCCATTCCCGACTCGCTCCGCTCTTATGGCCTTATCTTGGGAGCAGAGCTCTCAATGCTCCTCATGCAAACGACCTTGGCAGCCGCTGCTATATAAAACGTGCGACGCCTGCCGCCAGAAGGGCCATCATCACTGGCGCCGTCGTCATCCACTTGCAGTCGCTGAGGCACCGGGCTCCACGTCTATACAATCTATCGGACATTCTGTTGGTCTAGCCTCCTCTTCTCAGCGTGCTCTCTGCTCTCAATGCTATCGCCCGTGGCAATCTCCGCGGTATAAAACGTGCGATACCTGTCGCCAAAGCTGTCGCCAGAAATATCGCGGTCTCTTGGTATCCGCTACCGCTACCGAACTGGTCTCTCCAGGGCCTTCTGATACCGCGAGGGACGGATTTCCCCGGCATGTTTCATCAGGCGCGAACGTGACACGCCGCCTTCACCCGCTTCCACAACCCCGTGCGAAAAGGCAAAGGATCTTAGATCCACAAGCACCCAATGACAGTTTGGATAAAGCACTTGGCTTTTTGCATAATGAATACGAACGTCATGCAGCCGCTACTCAATCTTTCCCGCCAGAAATAACACCTTCTGTCATACGAAAGTCGATTTCCAGTTATGAAGAAATGACCTCAAATGCTTCGAAAAGATCGGTGTGTGCTTCTTGTGGTAAGCTCGTACCAGATGCTGATATTGTTCCTGTTGATGATGGTGATCCTTTGCTCTTACCTCTCGGGAGTGCTCTCGATCGCTGTGGTCAGCGTGAGCGCACCTGGAATGTGTGCTTATCCTGCCTAGGCCTCTGCATGGTGCGGTCTTGCGGTTTCAAACTGCAGAGCTATGACTTTGAGCAAACAGCGCTGACCGATATGGACGTGAAAAGCCCGTAAGTGATGACCCTTAACAGAAGGAAAACGACTTTGAGCATATAGCGCTGACTAGGATGGATGGACATGAATAGATTGTAAGTGAAGACTCTTGACTGGAGAGCAATGACTTTGAGCATACGTGTAACGGAGTGGATCCTGAATCTTCAGAAGTCCTGTCATAGAGACGGGTTATCGCCAGCGTGTCACTGTCGATCACAGAGCGTATTCTGACCGCCACTCTACCCCGCTCCTATCAATGATAAATAGTCCATTCTTGGGAACCTGGAAGTTCCCTAAGAATCAGTCTCTGTACTATTCACATAATACATCTGTTCCGGAGCCATCTTCGTCTTACCTAGTTGACAGGCCCTACCCTGTAAACACTAGAACCCCCCTATACTTTACAATACGGTGCTGACCAGGATGGACGTGAATAGATTGTAAGTGATGACCTTTGACTTTGAGCTATGACTTTGAGCAAATATTGCTGACTCGCATGGATGGACGTGAACAGGGTGTAAGTGATGACCTTTGACTGAAGAGCTATGACTTTGAGCATATAGTGCTGACTAGCATGGATGAACGTGAATAGGGTGTAAGTGATGACCCTTGGCTGAAGAGCAATGACTTTGAGCAAACAGTGCTGACTGAGATGGACGTGAATAGGGTGTAAGTGATAACCCTGGACTGGAGAGCAATCACTTTGAATATACAGTATTGACTCGAAATGGCCTTTAGTAAGGCAGCCGTTGGAACTTTCAACCAAAGTGTACTCCTATTGAGACGCTTTGCTTGTGTAAGTATCAAAAGGTTCATAATATTTGCGCTATCGATCTTTGATTTTAATCAATCCCGTCTATAGTGCGGGCGCCACTTTTCGACAAATGGCTCTTCCTTTCTTTCGGCCTTGGTAAAGGTTTTTCCCTGATTGAGGTTTTCCTATACTGTTATGCGAATGCAAAGGCCTCATGACTTTAGCTATATTCTACGTCCTATCAGCGTAGTGCAATATGTTCAACGATATCATATCTTGAATACGACGGTTGTATGGTACACCTCGAGCGGTTATACGTGAAGCTTAACTTCTCGTAACGCGACATAGTGTGATTTGTTGTTGGAAGGGGGGCTCTATTAGCGAGGTTTGATGACTGGACGCCTACAGAGTACAGAGATCTCGGCAGCTTGAAGTATATTGGGCAGCTTACTGGGTGTTATTTTGTAAATGAAGTTAAGATCCGTGAGGAGAAAGAGGGTTATGGTCTGTGATTTCCTTTCCCTGAATAGGCCTAGATAATTGTAGGTCTCTAGTGATAGAAATATCTTAATCAATGAGGAATATTCACGTTCAACGTGTAAAGCTTCGTAAAAGATCTCGGCTAGAGACTCAGTCTTTAGGGCTCTTTGCTTCGTGTTCCTCGCAAAACCTGTCAAAGTTGTGGAAAGGTATTATTGTTTGGCTCTACTTATATACCCACTTAATCTTGCCCGAGATATGGGGACCGATTCCGCTATATAAGTGAATGAAATGTTACCCTTTGTCCTAGTATCTCATGAACTCAAAGAACATTCGATTCTCTTCATCGTAGGAAAAACCAGGGTTTCCGCGAACTATTATTTCTTGCGAAGGCACGGGTCTTCTGACCATCTCTATAATAAGAAAAACCACGGAGTTTCTTTTAGTCTAAGACCCATCGGGGGAGCCTAGACATCGTTAGACTGGGTAGATCCCAGGGAACACCACGCTTTTACGCGCGCTTTAAGCTCCTACGAACCAAACGATCATCCGACTGTCTGTATCACAGGAAAAACCACGGTTTCTGTAAAATCCGATCTTCTCGTGAACCCGAGGGTCCTTTGATTATCTCTGTCATAGGAAAGACCACGGTCCCGCGAGCTCTAATTTTCTTACGAACCGCGAGATCATCTGACAATTGCTATCTCAAGAAGCATCACGGTGCTTTAGTGGACATTTCTACTTTTCAGAGGACTATAATTAAGTTAAACAAACTGATGTGGATCCATACCCTGGCTTCTTCCAACAAAATTCTTGGGCCTCACATCTCAGGCAGATTAATTGGCCTAAAGCGGTTAGCGCTTGTCTTTACTCTAATCAGAGTCGCCACGCCGGCTCCTTCCCTATCATTTTCTGCACATTAAAGCCGCAGAGTTCCTGCTACTTTTCCCGAAGTACTATTTTTATGTGTCAAGTATCAAGGATCATGCTCTTGTTCTGAGAGGCTACGAATGGTCTAGGATCAGTGCTTAAAGCTCCAAGGGTAGGCATCCTCGCACGCCCCTATCAAAGAGGCTCGTTTACGCTAATTTATGCATGTGATATGCGTTGCGTGCCTCGACTTTCTGCTTGCGCAAATCATATTTGAAACATCCATTGTTGTAAATATGTTTTTAATTTGATGTACGAGCGACTAAAATGTTAAAATGGATCATTCCTCGAATTCAAACTGAGGGTAGAAGCTAAGAGGCCGGTGTGCCGAAGAGACCCGCATGATGCGCCATCACTAAAGCAACGCTGTGACAGGAAGAGCACGCAAACAAATTACCAGCAGCGAGTTGATACAGTGCAAGATACTAATTACAATATGGTCTGCTTAGAGAACCCCGTTTCCCTTTCTTTCCGTCTGATTCTGCTAGCTACAGTCTAGACTCCATATTTCCCAATACAGATTAGTGTTTGTTACCCATGCGTCCGAAAATAGTGGCAGCCCGACTTCTCTCCCCAACATCTCCTGGTTGGAGCTTACATCCACAGCACAATACACCATGGAGGAAATCTTTCGGTCTTTGACAGCGGAGAAAATCCAGGAGCTGCTAGTAATTTGCGGAATCAGTAACTGCAGTGATGAGCCTATCAAGCAACACATACTTGGCATTTCTGACTTCAGTGAGCCCCAGACTGCTGTTCGAACAACTATTTCCACTGACACGCATAGTCCGCCAAACAAGGCAGCAGGTAGGAATAACAGATTTACCACCTCTTCCTACTCCTAAAGCTAGTCCGGATCCTGAAGCAAAGCGCGGCTCTTATCGGTTCCTCCCCACACCTGAAAAACGAAGTAAAGCGGACTACACGGGGCTAGACGCACCGTCTCATAAGAAGAAAAAGACGAACAAAGTCAAAGCGAAAGACAAGACTACTCTCAAAGAAATGTCGCAAGGGATGAATGATGCCGTACCACCTCTAAAAGGAGGCATACCAACCGATTCTCCATTAACGGATGAAGCAAACACAGCGATGAACTCACCCCGGGCTGAGACACCCTTGACCGACTTATGCACCCATCAAGGTGGAAAAGCGCCGCACAGTATCGTCGAGAACATACTTGTCAACTGTATCAAGCTTAATGATCCACTTGGAAGATACGGACACCGTTCAAAGCAGGCAATTATGACAACGAAGGTTGAGGCGATTCAGAGTTTGGTGGATGACATTGTCAAGCTGCAATACCCAGATGCAGTCCAGCTAATCAAGCAGGAGAATGCATTCTCGGCAAGCAAAAGTATCCAATCTCGATTTAACGAGACCGTGTATTGGGAAATCATCAAAAAAGGCGCCGAACTCCTTGACCCAAAGGATTTGCCAACCTCTAAAGGCCCTCTTGATGAATTCACGATGGCCGAGAAGGTCGCTACCGAGCGCTTCATGAGGGAAGCGGGTTATGGACTTAGCCTCGCTAATCAACGGCAGTGCCGTCTTTTTTGGAAACGACTGTTCGAGATGCGAAACGCGGGTGTTGACAAAATTCTCTTGTATCGCACAAAGGATTTCGACCGCTTCTGCAAAAGCTACTCATCGGAAGCTGGGGCTTCTTTGGTAAAGATGATCCGGGACTGGGAAGAAAGATATGCCTTCCATATCAAACAGTTGGAAGAGCGTGTGGCCGAGGAGAGCAAGGGTGATTTCACAGGAAGACTATGGCTGAGCCAGCCGCTTGTAGCGGACAGACTTAGTGTCTCTGAAAATGCGTGGAACAGCGCTATTAACCTATGGTCCTCCAGCGTAGAGGAAACCGTCTTCCAATTGAGTGGATCGCACGAGCCATCCGCTGTTGCACTCGGTGGGTTCTTTGACTTGCAGCCAAAGGCAGAAACAATGCGGAACAAATCTATTTTCGTTACTCTTCAACTCAAAGATGATGTCTTTCTCACAGCTTGCCCCATCATTTCAGTCCAGGAAGGAGATACACTTGGGAGGTTTGCTGGAGAGATTCGGTACTCTTCAGATTATAGCGCCGTCTACGGTATACCTGGTCCCCAAGAAAATCTTTGGCTGGATTACAGCATGGTGACGGGGTTACTTAACCTTATGAAGGTATCAGCTCCTGGAGGTGACTCTAATGTTCGTCTTCAGTGGGAGCTCATCAATGGACGGAGTGAATGAAAAGCGCATCTCATGTGGAATGTCTCGGTTGTTGCTCTTCGGGCAATCCAACCATTTGAAGAGTTTGTTCGCGCTGCTCCTCAAAAAGAACAATATCTCCTGCACCAGTCGCCGGCTTGCGCAAAGCGAGGATATACGAAATACCGAAGTTCCTGACTCTTGTTTTTATCTACTCCTAGCTGCTCATTAAATAGAATCATCGCTAATGATAAAGTACGATTTTTGCGTACAGTAGACGACAAGTTCGGTGTCCACCAGATTTACACTCTTTCCCTCTTTCTCAGCGCCACAGTGGGGCCCTAGTCTAGATCGAGCTTCATTGAAATTTACTTCGTCTTGGCACTGTCACAGACATGACATTTCCCCTTACTGGGGTCATTTACGTGGTTCGCTGGAACGATTAATACAATTTGGGAAACAGTTAGATTACTTTCCCAGTCATACTAGGATGCCTCTGTATTACACTAAGTGCTAAACTAGCCAATGTTCTGTTAAATTTGTATAAGACAACGAAAAGAAGGCCCAGCACAAGGGCAAGGAATCTAATCATTGCGAGAACCTATTATCAAAACTTTCCCCGTGGAGTATCCAAGAGCCAGCCTATCGTGTTGTATATCGGAGGAAATGAAACTGCGATACTCAGCAGGGAGCCATATCAGATTTTCGTTTCCAAAGGTGACCCAGTCATTTGCAACGGAAACGTGAGGATCGGGCTGGCCGGGAATCCGGCCCACGATGGACGCGACCGAGTCGGGGCGCCCCTCGAGGGTCTGTCGCTCCTTGCCCGTCTGAGCATCCCACAGCTTGATCGTATTATCATTCGAGCCAGAGGCCACCGTTTGGCCGTTCGGGGAGAAGGCCACCGACAGGACCGCATTGGAATGCCCCTCGAGTGTCTGTCGCTCCTTGCCCGTCTGAGCATCCCACAGCTTGATCGTGAAATCATGCGAGCCAGAGGCCACCGTTTGACCGTCCGCAGAGAAGGCCACTGACCAGACCCCACCAGAATGCCCCCCGAGCGTCTGTCGCTCCTTGCCCGTCTGAGCATCCCACAGCTTGATCGTGTTATCAGACGAGCCAGAGGCCACCGTTTGGCCGTCCGGGGAGAAGGCCACCGACAAGACCACATTAGAATGCCCCTCGAGCGTCTGCCGCTCTTTGCCCGTCTGAGCATCCCACAGCTTGATCGTGCGATCATATGAGCCAGAGGCCACCATTTGGCCGTCCGGGGAGAAGGACACCGACAAGACCACCCCAGAATGCCACTTGAGCGTCTGTCGCTCCTTGCCCGTCCGCGCATCCCACAGCTTGATCGTGTGATCATCGGAGCCAGAGGCCACCATTTGGCCGTCCGGAGAGAAGGCCACCGACAAGACCACCCCAGAATGCCACTTGAGCGTCTGTCGCTCCTTGCCCGTCTGAGCATCCCACAGCTTGATCGTGTGATCATCGGAGCCAGAGGCCACCGTTTGGCCGTTCGTGGAGAAGGCCACCGACCGGACCGAATCAGAATGCCCCTCGAGGGTCTGTCGCTCCTTGCCCGTCTGAGCATCCCACAGCTTGATCGTGTGATCATCGGAGCCAGAGGCCACCGTTTGGCCGTCCGGTGAGAAGGCCACTGACCAGACCTCATCAGAATGCCCGTCGAGTGTCTGTCGCTCCTTGCCCGTCTGAGCATCCCACAGCTTGATCGTCTCATCAACCGAGCCAGAGGCCACCATTTGGCCGTCCGGGGAGAAGGCCACCGACAGGACCGAATTGGAATGCCCCTCGAGGGTCTGTCGCTCCTTGCCCGTCTGAGCATCCCACAGCTTGACCGTCCGATCATATGAGCCAGAGGCCACCGTTTGGCCGTCCGGGGAGAACGCCACCGACTGAACATAATTAGAATGCCCCTCGATCGTCTGTCGCTCCCTGCCCGTCTGAGTATCCCACAGCTTGATAGTGCAATCATATGAGCTAGAGGCCACCGTTTGGCCGTCCGGTGAGAAGGCCACTGACCAGACCTCATCAGAATGCCCGTCGAGTGTCTGTCGCACCTTGCCCGTCTGAGCATCCCACAGCTTGATCGTCTCATCAACCGAGCCAGAGGCCACCATTTGGCCGTCCGGGGAGAACGCCACCGACGAGACCACACCAGAATGTTCCTCGAGCGTCTGTCGCTCCTTGCCCGTTTGAGCATCCCAGAGCTTGATCGTGTGATCATCGGAGCCAGAGGCCACCGTTTGGCCGTTCGGGGAGAAGGCCACCGACCGGACCGAATCAGAATGCCCCTCGAGGGTCTGTCGCTCCTTGCCCGTCTGAGCATCCCACAGCTTGATCGTGTGATCATCGGAGCCAGAGGCCACCGTTTGGCCGTTCGTGGAGAAGGCCACCGACCGGACCGAATCAGAATGCCCCTCGAGGGTCTGTCGCTCCTTGCCCGTCTGAGCATCCCACAGCTTGATCGTGTTATCAAGCGAGCCAGAGGCCACCGTTTGGCCGTCCGGGGAGAACGCCACCGACTGAACATAATCAGAATGTCCTTCGAGGGTCTGTAGATTCGAGTTCCAAGATTCCATCACCGCTCGTAGTATCTCTATCCTTCTGGGCTTTTCGTGCAGAAATGACTTTCGTATGACACTTTGTACTGGCGCAAAAGCCAGTCCAGAATTATAGAGTTGCAGTGGAGCAATGCCTGCTATATATGAGTTTTGAAGAGTAAACCTTCTTGCATCCTGCAGAAATGCACGCACTTGAGAACCGTGCTTGTGCTATAAATGTCAGTATAGAACCTCTTTACAGCCACCAACCACAAACTTACATCAATCAGACCCTGTAACTCATTGATTAGCCTGATACCCTCGGATATCATTCCCATCAGGCTTAAGGCTTCAAGCCAATGAAGGCAGTGCTCTAGGAGAAAGGACAGGGCTTGGTGTTCATCGTTCAGCTTGACCCCGCTCTTCTTCAAATGATGCACCCAGTACAGGCACGCATATTGAACATGTAATGGCAGACACCGGTCAATCTTTGGCTTGTCGAGAACAGTACGAAGACGCCCCGGCGCTTCTAGTCCACAGATGTCCTGTTTCAGATGGCCACCGTGGGAAAGCAGCGCAAGACATCTGTCTGCAAGCATCTTGTGGGTGGCCTTCTCATCAACGTAGAAGGACTGGCTCATCTCTGGATCAATGACAAAATCTCGAAACGATTCGTGGAATATTCTTATCGGAATAGTAGCGTTGGTTGGGACGTCGAGTATAGAGTGAAGCATCCCCAGTCTGTTGTTGACTTTTCCAGTGGAGATATCAAGAAGGCTCGCCAATGGCGCAGCGCCTAGAGGATTTGCAACAGTGATTATTGAGCCCACGATCAATTTGAACTCATTGATCGCATTCAATTGCGCAGCGAACTTCAATCCATGTACCATTCGGTCTAGGACGGGTAGGTATATTTGGTCAAGATTCCCACGGGCCTCATGTTGGAGGATCTTCTGAAGCCGATCATCCGGCCCGTCACCGCCCTGTCGGCAATCCTCAATGAAGCGACAGGTCGTAGCCGCAAAGATGAAAAGCGGCACAGAATTTGTGACCAGTCTGCGGAATTGGGTTGGATCTGGCCAATCAGAGGCGAGCTCGAACATTGACCGAATTTCACCCAATCGAAATTTCAAAAAGGCTGTGATGTCTCGCTCGATCGTGGGCCATGGGATCTCGTCAATAGAAACCTCGATGAACTTGTCTTGGACCCCCTTAAACCCGAGACGAATTGGAAGCTCAAATCTGCTGGTGACGAAGAATTTTAACGGGACTACTGTTGAGCGATCGGTCTGCAACAGTAACTTGATAATCGTCGTGATATCCTCATCACCCTCACATTCATCGAGGGCATCGATCACAACTGTCATGGTCGTGGAAGTTTCACGCGAGGCGGCTTCCATTGGCTGCATGATAAGTCTCCTAAACTGCTCCCCTAATGCCATAGTGGCGATACTTGGTTTCGCTTCGATGGTGTTTCGCATATGCTCAGCTACCGCGGGTAATTTCTGGGCGATCTGGGCAGCAATACTTGTGAACACGTAGCGGGCACTACTACGATCGAGTTCATCCCTCTTGAAGAAGAAGCTGGCAGCAAGGCGATCCTGCCGGTCAAGGGTATCAGCCACGGTGCGAGCGATCGTTGACTTGCCAGTGCCAGCCTTTCCTCGAAGCCAATATGCATGCTCGCGAGTGATTGGGGCTTTAATCCATTGGCTGATCGTGCCGAGCAGCTCATGGCGCGTGTTTCCGAGGCAAGTCGCGACGTGTTCGTTTACACGGGAGTTGAATGCGGCATCTTCCACAGTGCGTAATTTGTCGACGACGTACTGCTGGTCGCCATTCAGGGTGGGTGTGGTCGTCCTTTCTCTGTTAGCTAGCCCGTCCAATCACAAAGTAAAGCGACATACGGTCTAAGTGTTCGTAGCTGTTCCTGAAGGCTGTGATATAATGGATCGTCCCGCCCGCGGCACTTGTTTAATCCAGAGTGGTCTTTAGTGATATCAATGAGTATAGCACCATGGCCGCCTCGCGCTGAGTCCCGTGGGACAATCTAGGGGGTGTTAGAGGGATCTCGGAGAGGGGCAGTAACACCTACCAAACCCACAGATATCCCTAGGATGCTTGTGGGCATCTCTTCGCGGAAAGCTACAATCTTTGTCTTTTGTCGTCGTATCTCTTTTGCTTGGAGGCACTTCCCAAAACGTTCATCCAAGTTAGAGAGCTGTTCTTGATAGCTCGTTAGGGAACGGATCAACCCAGTGCTAGACCCTAAGAAGCCAGTCACGTAGGCTAAGATAGCCCCGAGAGTAGATACAGGTGACCCTTGGTGAGGGGTACCGAGGAAAATGATCCCGCAAGTGTTGTCAAAAATGTTTTTCGCGGCGTTCCCAGGAGTGCACAAGGCCTATAGAAGGATGTATATCCATACGCAAAGGAAGTGGGAATATTGCTGCTTACCTCTTTTATGACGATGCCTCCAAAGCTATGGGCGAGAAAAACCATCTGAACAGACTATGGATTCTGTTAGCTTTATCTTCATTGGACTTTGCAGTCCGTACCTGTTGTTTTTTCCGATGCTTTACCAGCTCGTCCAGCAACCGTTCGCCAATTTGCTGCGCTGACTTAACCGGCGCATTGATCAACCAGTCCGAGTTATGCGCAAACGCCAGAATCCGTGCGGTCGGAAAGTCATCTTTCAGTAGGTCTCGCAGCAGGTGGATGCGTTTCACGTCGCCCGAACCGGTCGATGCCGATGAAGTGCCTGTCCAGGTGTATTCCGGATGTGCCCCAAGGCCATGGACGGCGACAATCCTGGAGTTATTAGCGTAAGCAGCATCGCTGAACTGGCAGCTCTTACTCAAAAGTGACGTCCTCAGCCTGCTCAGGCTCGTAGACCGTGTAAAGTCCATCAGGGCGGTCCATCCTTCCCCGGCGACGAATCTTGCCAATCACCGGGTAGAGAAGCACGACCGGGAGCGCGATCAAGGCGGCCCACAGCATGAGCTCATTCATGGCCTACGTCTTGGACAGTAATTTCGGCTCAAAGGCGGGGGTCAGTCGATTCACTCGGAGTAACTTAGCCCGTCCCAAGTACGACACAAAGATGCGATTCGGCCAAATGGAAGAACGATCACGGTCAAAATGCGGCACCTTGAGGATTGCTTCCAACATCACAGCAGATGTCAAGCGTCATTTGAGAAACTTCTATAGTTCTCAGCTGAGCCATCGGCCCGACCCACTTATCACACCTCATCACCGTGCAGAAAGCACGTGATGACACGAAGAAACAGACCCAGCAAGCGCCCTGGAGAACGCGTTGATCTGCTTATTGCGTTTGCGTATCGGTTGATACTGCTCCCGACGAGCGACAATGCGACCGAACGCGAAAAAACGAGGCGGCGAGATGTCGGGTGACACCCAATATGGCATCCAGATAGACAAGCAACAGGACCACGTCCGTTTATCCTATCATCATGACCCCGCAGATTAAGTGAGCTAAACGCTTTGCGCAAACGTGCCCCTTCTTCATTGGCTTGAAGCCTTGAGCCTGATGGGAATGATATCCGAGGGTATCAGGCTGATGAATGAGTTACAGGGCCTAGTTAATGTAAGTTTGTGGTTGGTGGCTGTAAAGAGGTTCTATACTGACATATATAGCATAAGCACGGTTCTCAAGTGCGTGCATTTCTGCAGGATGCAAGAAGGCTTACTCTTCAAAATGCACATATAGCAGGCATTGCTCCACTACAACTCTACCATTCTGGACTGGCTTTTGTGCCAGTACAAAGTGTGATACGAAAGTCAATTCTGCACGAAAAGCCCAGACGGATAGAGATACTACGAGCGGTGATGGAATCTTGGAACTCGAATCTACAGACCCTCGAGGGGCATTCATTATCAACATGGCACCACTCCAAATCACTGTCGGAGGCTCATATTCTAATTCGGTCCTATCGGTGGCGTTCTCCCCGGAAGGCCAAACGGTGGCCTCTGACTCGGATGATCACACGATCAAGCTGTGGGATGCTAGGAAGGGCAAAGAGCTGATGACCCTCGAGGGCCATTCCCATTGGGTCTTGTGTGTAATCTTCTCTCCAGACGGCCAAACGGTGGCCTCAATCTCGTATGATAAGACGATGAAGCTCTGGGATGCTCAGACGGGCAAAGCGCTCAAGACCCTCGTGGGCTATTTCGATTTGGTCGCTTCCGTCGTCAGTCAAAGTTCATATGATCCCAAATCTCGAATTTCTGTGTCAAATGACTGGATTGCCTTCAAGAACGAATACCTTATATGGCTCCCTGCTGAGTATCGCAAATTCAATTACTCAGCTATTCAGGGTGGCGTCCTTGCTATTGGATACCCTAATGGGAGGATTTTGATTGTTAGTTTCAACACGAAGTAGTTATTTTATCGTTGTCCTCGGTGTACTCTCGAATTTTTCAATTACCTAACTACTTTCCAAGAGAGCATGGGTCAGTACAGCGCTATATGTATCTTGCTTGTGGACTTTAGATCGTTGGGCCTTTGCCTCATCCGAAGCGATTAGAACAAAAAGGCAACTTAGCACCAGCTCGCAACCTACTTTCCAAGGACGCTTCGCCATGTTCTAGTAATACATGTAATTTACTCTCAGTCTGGTATTCTCATGTCCGTAACAGTGCTTGGATGGCGCAAATCCAGGCTAGTACCAAACTTAGCATAGTTCCCCACTGTGGCGCTGACAAAGAGCGAAAGAGTGTAAATCTTGTGGAAGCCGAACTTGTCGTCTACTGTATACGCAGAATGTTTGCAGCTGTAAGGCTTGGTCCTGCTTGGTTTGGGCAGGGACAGTAATTGCGGGATGATTTGTACGTCGGTCATGGAGAACAACTCTGAGCAGAGTACAGAGAAACGCTAGCCGCTTTCAGCTCATCCTCCCACATCGGTCCCTCTCATCCGCAATTAATAACATAGCTACACCCCATGGCTTTTGGCAGATATACAATCATGCCGTCTCTTCAATTTACGCGCTTATCCACTACAATATATAGGCGTGTCCGACTGTAAGGGAGATATAGTATAGGTTTTATTGCCACGGGAATATGGGTCTCGTAATGGTAAGTTGGTAATTAAGGAAAGCCAAAAGGGCAAGACAAGGATAGAGTATTTATAACAACGAAATTAAAACAACGCCGTTCGCGTTCGGGATCGGTAGACCTTTCTTCTTCAGTCTCTTGATCCTTTTGCTCCTCTTTACCGACGATAGAGTTTCCCAATCGTGATATAGAGTCACATCCGGCAGCAAGATCTTAGCTAGGCTGTCTTCGGGATCGGCCTGACCGGCAGCCGCAGCATCTGGCTCGTTTGGTCCAGCATGCCACTCAGCAGGACACTCTTCATGAATTGGGAACTCTTCAGAGGTGATAGACCACTGTTCAATCACCACCAGGTGTTCAGTAGAGGTAAGCCCGTGTTCAGAGACTCCTGATGCAACATTGTGTTGAGATAATACACGTTGACGGATCCCCGTACAAATACAACGAAGCCGAATAATCTTTTGCCGCTCTACTTCAACATATTTGCTGAAACATTAAAATTGTATGACTCATGCCCACTATGTACAAGATAACTTACTTTGACCTCACCTCAGGCATTAGAACCCAAGAGACCCATCTCTAATAAAGAACGGGTGAAAGCCGAAATGGCACGAACAGCAATACTGGCAATTTTATCCCCATCGCCAGCGTCAGGATCAAAAGAGCAAACAGTGAGACTCCTTGGCGTGGCTTTCTTAGGCAGCAAGGCCAAATTTGTAATTAGGTCGGACCCAAACATTCCTCCCGCGGATGGGTAATCATTGACTTTACCGTATGAGGAGTCTAGGACATCGAGGTCTAGATGTTCTAAAGCTGGACTGTAAGACCGCCTTGGATATACGCCGCATGAATTCGAAACTGCGTCCAATTTCCCCCTCGAAATTGTCCACTGGCTCGATTTCGGCAACGTCAACTTGCACCCCGAGCTGTTGGAGTTCTTGGACGACTCCTAAAGGGAGTATGCGGTGCGGGCCATTGCCGACACGATGATCACGTATTCCAACATGGTAAGCAGAGAATATGATGGTGATAGTGTTGGCACGCATGGTGGTACTGATTTGGCTGGGGTAAGGAGATGGACAAAAATTTGGCGGTGTTTGTGATATGACCCACTAGATGTTGATTATTAATCACATTCAACTACGTCATAGGCTGAGAAGCGTATTCATGGTCAGTCAGTTGCACTCCTCTCTAAAACAAAAAACTAATGGAGAGTGTCAAAGTCTTCGATAAATCTCGTAGGCAAGATTGAGTTGGGTTGCCGCCTAATTCGCGCCGACTAACAACTACTACGAGAGCCACGACGAGCTCTGCAGGGAAATTATACTCCGAATGTCTACCTAGTTTTTAAAAGCTGTCAAGTTCAATCACAATGCTGACATGTAATAACCACGGTCAATCCGATGACTCCGAAAGAGCCGGTTTTTATGGAATCACCTAAACCACGTCTTTGATAAATGGGTTATGATAACAATTTATCTTAACGATTTACCTAAACGAGGCTGGCTCACCCTATCCCTGTGGTAGTTCGCTCGTGGGAGAAAATCTATCACTCCACGTTTGATCCCATATTGAATTATCACCGAGATATTGCAAGACATGAGTTGTACAACTTGCTGCCCGTGTCTGCTCACCTGGCTAACCTTGCCTCGTAGAGTAGTGAGAAACTCATTTGCCCGAGAAACAAATTCCTTAACTGAAGCTTCCATCAGAAGCGCACCGTGAGTAGTCACAAACAAAGTACATACTTGTTTTCTGCGCGATCATGGGACCTCTGTGCGCTCTCAAGGTCTTCTTCAAATCGTATAGCTTGACCGTAGTTCTTTTTTATCAAGAGATGGGTTTGAAGGTGCGATCGTTGCTAGACAAATCCAATGGTTCCGTTTTGGCGATGGGCCATTGTATTCAAACCGATGACCAATTAGTTAGTGCGATGATCTTAAATCCACAGGATATGACATTCTCACGCCTTGGCAAGAAGTAATTGTACTCAGTTATTATGTGGAGGAGACTCGTCTTGTCCCTTTCGTAATCTGTGGTTGTCTAGGGGCGAGACTAAAATAATCTTCGAATTATGGTGCGACGAATGTTTGAGAGTCATATAAGTAGGGAGTTTCTATCTTCGGTCACAATAGTTCTAATGCCTACACTCTGATACGGCAGAAGTGAAAGGTACCAGTGAAACAGTGTCAGTTACATCCATAGAATTGCAGACACCGACGTGGCAATAGTCAATAGCGTTAATTGCGCTCCCTCTGAACTGCATGGAAAGACGGTGTATACACTCCGATGTGGTAGTGATTCGCAGTGTGAGGATATTTGTTGATCGGGTCACTAGTAGCCTTCGGCGAATCGTAGTCAGCTCCTAGCGCTCAGGCCGTGTAGGCCTGGCAGATACTTGGGTAGATATCCTGAAAACTTTTGGATGGGTATTAACAAGGCGTGATGAAATCGTAGCTGCTAGTATACACTCTGACGAGTGAGGATTAGGCGGAACCAACCCAAACAGGATGATGAATTGACTTGTGTTGTAACCACATCGTATATAAACCTAGTTGCCCTTTGATCTTTTCTGTTTGCCCTCATTTCTGTTCCTCATCTCTAGTAAGATTCTATACCTTCTTTGTGCACCGGCAAAAGTATATTTAGCCCGCCAGTATTCGGTTCTTATAATGTCCGAGAGGATTAATGGTACGGTGTCGGTATGTTTATGTTTATGGGGAATTTACAATATATCCTGTTGCTCACGTTCTCCGATAGGAATGGAATGGGTCCGGGGAGCATCTTTACGGTTTTATTGACGTGGAAGGGCTTGATAAATCGTGAGCACAACTCTTTAGTAATCCAAGAGCTTAGCTTTTACCGGGCTCCCTCCTATTGTCTTGAGTAAATTTACTGATAATGTAATAGAGTTGCGTGTGTGGCCGACATCTCCATGAATATCGGAAAGTGTGATATATGTATTTGGGGGGAAACTTCGACCCAATAGAGGGTACTTCCGAATCTGAGACCCCAAAACACCATACTCCTTCTCTCCAATACATAGTGTGACCATTGGATGTTCGTATGATCTACAGAAATTGAGAAGTCAGTTAATTTCGAGTAAAATAGTTTGAAGCCCTCACGATGACCGTGGCTGATTGTACTCGATTTTCGGGAAATTCTGGCCAGAGTTCAGAGATACCGAACTTGCTTGAATCTGACATGAGAGGCTTCCGGTCATTTTGAACGCCTTTGACAATGGCACAAAAGATGAATCAGATTAGACTAATTAAAATGATTGAGTTGAAAATAGGTAGCATAGTAAAGTCTGAATTTGTAGACGAAGTTGGGAAAAGAGGGGATATGCAAGTATGAGCTGTTCTTCATGCACAATTCCCAAGTGGTAATGCAATAATCTGCGAGATAGGCCACGGAGATGTGTGGTGCTTTTGCTCAATCACGCCGTACGCTGATGCTACAGCTACTGCTACCACAGTCGAGATATAGATAGGACACCGAAAGGCAAGTGTATTATCCAAGCGTCCACTAAAAGACACCTTAATAAATTCTGTAAGCCTACTTCCAGCTACTCCTTGTTTGTGGATCTCCCATACCATTATGTAATATTATCATGGTAATGTTCTGTATACGAGACCATACGGGAATATCATTAGTCCTATAACTATTCTACGTTGAACTACAGTGTAATTCTGAACCCCTCCATAGTTAAGAGAGCGGGAGCTAGGCTGAAAACCGACTAGCGTACACTGTTATTCAGGAAAACGGACACTGTTATTCAGAACTCTCCTCCTATCACTCACATACTATTTTTACTTTCTGAAGGCTGCATGGAAATCACAACAATCTTAATTCTAACTCTGCAAGTTTTGCAATCGCCGTATTCAAATTTGAGTGGTTTTATTCAAGACTGCTATTTCCGACTGTAGAATGTCTGGCCTTCCGACTATACTTACAACCACCCAACTCAAATATATTTCTGACCACAATCCAAGTAGAATACTAAGGAATTATATTAGTACCAAGTTAATACAGATTCAGGTCCTATCCTTTCTGAGTATATGATACCCTGTATTAAGCAGTTGTATACTATCACTACAGTGCCTTAATGTCTTACAATATCGGATTGCTCACATTTCTAACCAGTGTTATCACATTAATCCATAAACAGACTAGCGTACGGTGACATTCAGGGGAACCCATAATCATACTGATATCCACCATTCTACTTCTAATTAAATTTATATATCCATACCATCTACTATTTTTACTAGATTCTACAATGTCACAATCTAATCACGATCATATAAATTCTGCCACGGAGCCTGAAATTAAGACTGATAACCCCTTGCCGTCGTATCTGCAAGTGCTACCGGAACTTAGGGTAGTCCTATGCATAACCCATGGTTCCTGCTACATTCGAACCAGTCTCTCTCGCCATCTTCGTGACAAACATCATGTTAAGAGTCAACAGCGGCAAACCATCGAGTCCGCACGAGAATTAGCTTGCGTGGCACAATACAGCACTGGAGTCATCCAGCCTCAAGATGGGATTTGTGAGATTCGCGGGTTGCCGACCGTGCTCGGGTTCATCTGCCACTTCCCCGATTGCGACGTTCGCTCTACCAGCAAGGACCGGATCCGCCAACATTATAATAAGCATCATCAGTGGCAGGTCGCGCAGCAGGGGGCGATTCCATGGCATGAGGCCTTTATGCAGACGCTCTTTCTCCAGAAACAAAGCCAACAGTACTTTGCTGTGGTTCTTGCCGACCAGATTCCGACCTCCAACCCTCAATATATATATCGGCATGCCAACGCTCCTACTTATGTACCACCATCTGGTTCCGAGACACCCCCTTCGTCAGCTCTCACCGGCGATACATGGAAACAGATCATGGGCCGATACCAGAAGAGTCTCTCTCAATCATCGCGGAAGTCCATCGCCGCAGCGCGCCATGTATCCGAGGTCACTCCCTTTATGAAGCGGGCCGGTATCCATATCCACCTTGAAGGGCTCGAGGTCAAAGATCTTGGTCCTAGCTATCGAACACCACGACAGGACCAGGAGGCTTTACTTTTTGTCATTTGCGAAAGCGTCCAACGTGTTCTCGAGGGAGCAATGGCGGTCTTGGTACATGACCAAGATACAGAGGTACGCCAGCTTAGTCGCCGTAACGCACGGCTTCTCAACACTTTTGCCCGGGGAGAAACATCCCAGGACCCCCTCTCCGATCTCCAGAATGAACGTACGCGACAGAGATACATCACTACCTGGCAGCAGCTGGTATGCTACTGGGAGCGCGTCGTAGAGCAGCAGCAACTCCGGGACAATCTCTTTCAAGCCAGTACGCGGCAGCTTGAGGTATGGGTCGAAGTAACCGAGATCGCAAGTCAGATTGTGGATCTTAGTGGGTCTGAGGTCGATAGTCCGCATGGGGAGGATCTGCGCGCCCGGCTAGATCATGCCGTACTTCAATTCAGCCTTGCTATCATCCAGCACCCGGTTTCTCGTCGAAAGTTTGATTCAGTCCTTGTTTCCTATGCCGTGGTTCGCTTCTGGAGCCCTACGCAAGGAGCATGGCTCGCGATTGGGAACTATACATCTATACTATCGCAGTTGATCTACGACTGTCAGATGGTCATCCTTGCGTCTGTGTTGGCAGAGACGGCAGAGGGTAAGGATGCGGAGATAAGTACTATGATCATTGCGATCCGGGACGAATGGTTGTTGAACGATACCGACGGTCCTCTGTCGGAGCTGCTCGAGAACCGACTGCTCGGGTTCCGCATCAGTCAGACCGAGGTCCCCCCGGCCCAGATCCGCTGGCATGCCGATGGTCAGACTCTGGTCTGGTCAGATGTGGTCTTTCACCTCTCCGATATCCGCGAGATCATCTTTCAGCGGATTGCAGAGGCCCGGCGGATTCTCGAGGTTGAGCTTTGTCTCAGTGGGCGCTCTAGCCCAGCATCGGAGATCCCGACCATCGCGTATGATGAGCTGGTCGATAATTGGGACGCCACTGCGCCAGGCCAGTCATTCATC